CTCAAAGTAACACTTGTCCGAAAATCACTGCGCCAAGAGGGAATTGTCCACGGTGAAGAGGGAAGAGAGGAAGTGTAGTCCATCTCACACTAGTCGTCAACAGGTTAAATGTTCAGGGAAAACTCCTCCCACCTCTTTTCACTTTAGCAGCGAACGCTGAAGGAGGTCGCCTCCTCTTCAGCGTTTGCTCTCAAGCCGCTTTCAGTTGCTGTGCTACCACCAATAATGCCTCCCGCACGAGCAGCATTTTTTTTTTTTTTGCCTTTTTACAATGCGTTAAAGGGACGATGCAACAGTTTTTGTTCTTTGCGCAAATGCATACCGTTAAGAACTATAAAACACGCGTTCGTTTTTCACTCCACGCAATAGAAGGCCCAGAAAAAAACGTTCAGCCTTTCCACCCTCGTGAAGAAGGAAGACCAGCGGAGCTCTACTCGATACATTGCCGCAACGCGCACGCGCCGGATTCCTGCTTCTCGTCCGACACGCCGCCGATCGAGGATACGTCTCCGGCGAACACGAGACGGTCGCACACGGCGCACATGACGCCAAACGGGTTCTCTATGAACCCCCTCCGGAACCTCGCCGTCGCGCTCGGGAACTGTTCAGCCGGCGTGGGATGCAGTCGTCGACAGGCCTCGCGCTTGCGCTTGGCCTCCGTGGCACGAACGTCGTCCGTGGCGTTGGCCCGCCGGCGCCCTTTACATCGCTGGTTCTGTTCTCGGCGGCGGCTTTCCAGGCGAGCGATGTGCTCTTTGGCAAGGGAATCTGAAGCGCTGGACGCAGTGGAAGTCGAGGCGACAGCGGCTTTGCGGCGGTTGCGGACCCATTCGCGCTGCTGCGTACGTTGCCGCTCCTTCCACAGCCTGTCTCCTTTCCCCGAAAGGACGCGCGGCCGACCCATCGTGAGTCCAAACCGAAACTGATAAGAGCGTAGGAAACAACGCGCAAAACATACGAGGACGAAGAAACAAACGTGACGAGAGCTGCGCTTGTTACGTGTGCTTCTTCGTCGTCGTCTGTTTTTTGCGCTGTTTCCTACGATGATTTCTCACCAACGCGCCCCACTATCCATTCTGGCTGTAGAGCTTCTGTATGGGCTTCCTACGAAAGCCAGAGTTGCGCGTCTGTTTTCCACGAGCCGCCGCGCCGCTATTCGCCTCGATCCGATCACGTGAGAAGCCGGATCAAGTGCCGTCGGTGCCCTGCAGGAAAGTAGACGTTGCACGTGCCCCGGTGTACGTTCCCCTGCTTTTGAGCGCGCCGCGCGCCTTGAACGCGCGGCGCCGCTTTTCGCCAAATTCAGTCACGTGACGAGCGGACTTAACATACCGTGCAGGAAAGACGGCGCTCCGGAGATGAACGCGCAACACTGGTCTAGATGGCTGGAAAGGTTGCCGCCATCTACGAACGACGGCAGAAAACATACCGGTTGTGTGCTTGCCACCGTCGCTTATAGATGGCGGTAGCTGTCCAGGTAGGTTTGTGTTAGAGCACTATATAGCTCCTACGGAGCAGAGTAGCGCAATCCTTTGAACCCCGTGTTTTGCCGACAACATGGCCGACAGAGCGGCTCGGCGCGAGTCACGTGGTACTCAGGGTTCCAGGAGGCGGCCTGCCCTATGGGAGAATACATGGAGATCGACACAACACGGCTGATTAAAAAATGAACGGCGAGTTCACACTTTTCAAAACTAGTCTGTCGTGAAGTTAGTAAAGCACTAAACCATTTATCAAAGTTTTAATAATATCGGATGCATGTGCAAATTTTGAGAAGGCAATTTCCAAGGCAATGGCGTTTGAAGCAGACGATTTTTGCTCGCAGCGGAGATGGGCCTTTCGGGTTGGCCGGAGCGGGTCACGTGAATGGTGTGACGTCGCCGTGTCGTCTGCTGCATGATGCCGCTCAGGCAATTTTTTAAAAAAAGTCACGTCCTTGCGGGGCACAAAACTTAGCGCAAATTATTCTAAAATGTTCCATTATTATGTCAAAAACAATTGCCATTCCGTACAACCCCACAATACTGAAGAAACAACGATTTTCTCACGTTCTCCATGCATTTCTGACCACAGTTGGAACCTCCGGGCGTTCGCCGCTAGTCGCCGAGAGGCGGCGTTCTAGATTGCGCTACTCTGCTCCGAAGGAGCTATATAGTGCTCTAGTTTGTGTCGAGATACCGGACACGATCCTGGGGTACCTAGCCCTTAACAGCTCCGCTGTAAAAAAATAAATAAATAAAACGAGCAGCGTTCACCTCCTCAACTCGCAGCCAGAACAAGCGGCCACATGATCTGGAGCCGATTATATGCCGCCAATGTTTATCATAGCCACACGCTGGGGTCGGCAAGGCACAGGACACGCGCAGAGTTGCAGACATTGTTATGGCTCGGCTATTGTCGTCATTGGAGCAATTGGACAAGGGCCACTACCCGAATGCTTCTCGAGCTAGTAATTATCACGAGCCCAAATCAGTGCCCACGCAGCGCTCGGGTCCAATCTACAAACCACATTCAAATATCGTCATTGGGGTGTACTGCGATCCCCACGTTACGTCATCAAATTTTGCAAAGGAGAGATTGAATGAAAATGACCGCTTTTGTCCTTGAAATTACACCACAACAAAGGAATTTCTTGGCCAGCGGCATTGCGTGCGAGTATCTTCGAGTCCCACTAGTACCAGTAAGCTCGTGTAAAGTGAAAAACATTCCAATTGAATATTGTTGCACCGCCCCTTTAAGTTGGAGCATTTGCTTTTTTTTTTTTTACGAAGTTGTTTAAGATTGCTCTCATGAATTTAATTAAATATACCTATCACGGTCCATCAATTCTAGATACACGCGCTATGGTATAATAAAAATATGCTCCAAATCTGGCATGAACTTCCAAAACGATTTGCTGTAACGAGACATACGCTACCAACAGATACTGCAAAGAGCAATATGCATGGGAGTCAACGAGGTAACACCGGGGCCTTTACTGCAAGGATTCGTGACAGACTCGTGCAGCCCCTCGATCCAAAGCAGTGCATCCAAGCAGGTCTGCCACCCATCTTATCTGCGCATATCAAAGTTACCATTCCAATCCACTGCACCAGCAGGTACAGTTCGACATCTTGTCCTAGAGACTATGGCTCAAGTGTCTGCCTGCTGTCTCGAGGTACGCGGTCTCCACCAGCTTGCCCTTGCACGTACCTTTGGAACGGACCAGTGCTTTGCACTTGTGGCCACCAAGGCACAGGGAACCATGCGAGCCTGCATAGAGGCTATGGGGCGGTTCCGTGCGACGCACTTCCAGCTCAAAATCTTGCCAGATGCCACATCTATAACTTTCACCTTATGGGTTTCTTGGCACTGAGGCAGTGTTTTTCAGCATGCTCGAGTTTTCTTGTCTGCGGGAGTAGTCTGCAACACAAAGGTGCATCATCTGGTACTCAATTTTTGTGCACACCGGTCTTTATTCAGATGTAAAGAGAGCCGGCGACCGAGAAGTCGACCCGTCGGCTTCCCGGTCCCAGTAGACGAAACCCGGGAGACTTCAAAAGAAAACAAATCTGATCAAGTTTGAATGTATGCAACCCAAATATGTCCCCAATCATACTTACAGAGTTCGTCGTCAACGGAGCCACTCACCCGTTTGTGCGTCTCACCAACACAAAAAGACTAAAATAACTAGGAGTCTGTGCGTAAACAAAGGTCAAAAGTGGCAGACGCCGTTCACCAACATGGCTGAATGAAGTTTATCAGCAGGGAAAAGAATTTTCATGGAACTGCCCATAAGGTTCCATATATTTGGGGTTTATTTTTCTTAAAATTTAACGTATTTTGTTGTTGGTCAGAAAATTGAAATGTGACAGGTCTCAAGTTGAAGGCATAAGAACACTGGTATGGGATCTCCCCACCTACAGGGTACATAGCAAGACCCAAATGCCACATGCGTTTGCAGTGGCCGAGTGAGTGCCACACCTGGCTGCCACGCAGAGGTCCCAGGTTCGAATCCTAAGACTGAATGCAGCCTTTTATTAACTCGTTAAATCCCTGGTTCTAGAAAATTCGAGAATGTCATCATTTGTTCCAGGAAAGAGTCTTCTAGGGCCGAATGCTCTAGTTGGACTCAGACTGCACTCGATCCAGCTGCGACGCCACCTTCAACGTCAGCGACGCCCATACCTCTGGTTTTGTTATGGGCACAAGTTTGCCCTATTCACGCTTAGTTTTCTTCAGTTTATCTTCACCTCGTCACCTGTTACAGGTGATAATATAGTTGGAAAAAATCCCAGTACCGTCCGAGAAAGAAACGGGATGAGGGGGCGTGATTCCCCAAGAAAGCAACAGCCTCGTGGACAGTTACGTAGGGGCCGTGTCTCGTGCCGACAAAAAATAAAGCTCTCGATATAAATTCCTTCCTGAGAAGCTCTGCCTTTTCTCGTTCGAGGGCTTTCCAGTTCCCCCCATTTTGAAAAAAAAAAAAAAAAAAAACTGACTCGGGGAGTTATTTTTTGAGGTTGACCAATACATTGCCGCGTGCACAGCTGGGAGAGAATGCTTCTCCATACTTCTAAAAGAGTCGCATTTACTCTCACCCCGGGTGCAATAGATAAGTAAGCCAACACGACCTTGCCGAGTCAGTTTCCCGAGTGTTCGATGCTCGAAGATTTTAGGTGGAATGTTCGAGGTACCCAGTCTAGTAGATAAAGAGCCCAGCATGGCCTTGCTGACTCATTCTTGTGCTAGCCAGCCCAGCTGTCACGCCAACATCTGGACGCTCACCGCTACTTTCTCTTTGCTAGTTCTTTCGTCTCTTGCGCAAGTTTGCCGATTAAACCTTTATTTTCAGTTCTACCCTCATCCATCTGTTTCCGTCCACGACAATGTATCGAATACACGGAACCCCACTTTCGGCTGAGGGCACGTAGTCCTCAAAAGGCACCCAAGATGCCAGATTGCATCGAGACTCCGAGGCCCGAGCGGCACAGCCACCGAAGAAGAGAGAAGGGGCGAGCTCTTTTTTCGAACCTGTTTTTATTTGTATTTATAACAGCGCTGCAGCCTGCCTGACCCAGACGGCCCGTGGGTGCCGGGGGAGGGGCCCGTCGTCCCGTCCCCCGGCCTCTCTAATCTCTCGCTATGTAAATGGTTTCTCCTTGTATATATATATTTATATATATATAAACGTGTGTCCCCCGCCGTGGGGAGCCGGAGGCAGTCCCTCTGTCCGCACTGCTCGTGGGCTGTTGTCAGCGGCATCACGTCTGGTGGGGGGCCCAGCCCTGCCAGGGCTGCAAGGAAGGTGCACGTCGGCCACTTGGACAACGCTTTTCTTACGAGACATTTCGCGCTAATACGAAAACACTCGACTCCAAAAGAAAACTTTTTTTTGAAGTGCCTCGACACGACAGCTATGTCACAAAACAAACTCCCTTCCCTCACAAACGTTTTTTAGCGCGATACTTAAGGCGAGACGCATTAGAAGAGCATTTCCAAAACCAACTTCGGTTTCAAGAGGGCGATTTTTCGTTATCAATGCCTCGAAACAGAAGTTAGTTTCGGAATCGCACGTAACTATAAAATTTGTCTCGCAGCATACATATTGCACTAAAAAAATTTTGTTTTCTGCAAAATATTTTTTGTGCTGTCTGTCGTGTTCCACTACATCATATTTTTCATTCAATTTAGATATAATTCTTGCGTCTGCTGTAATTTTGTGTGCCCAGCACTGATGTAAGCCAATCTTGTTCCTATCAACAACTTTAGGGCAAACATGTTCACTCAACCTTTTTATAATATCCCCTCAAAGTACCGCAAAAAAGTATGTCTACATATTCGGCAAGTAATAGAAAGTACCACAAACCATTCTTTTAATTTTAGCAACATATTAAAAGTTATCGTATGTTGAAATTCTTTTGGCAATAATCAAAAATGGGTCATTATAGCTATTGACAATTAAAATATATACCATAGAATACCATGCATCCACCCATTCCACATTAAGAGTCCATTACCAAATTTGTAACACCTGAGAAAATATGCACAGTACATTAATATGTAAAACTGATGACTGGACAAACGCCCATCCCCCATTTTTTTTTTTTTTTTGCGATTATCCCCAAAGTTTGAGTGGGTGCTTGCACGGTATTTGATGGTAACATGTATTTTTTTTTTAAGTTGTTAGTATTGTCACACTAAAAATAAACATTTTTTTTTTCTATTTAGCCAGAACATTTTGAGTAACAGTTACTACAGTGGGATGTGAAGATGAGGATCTAACATTTTTTATTTTTGTACCCTTCCGAAAGCAACTGTCCCAGCAAGTCCATATCCTCACCCTTCCGAAAGCAACTGAGCAACTGTCCCAGCAAGTCCATATCCTCTGAACGCAGGTTAACCGGTGCCAAAAACAACAACTCGTCCGAGTCATCGCAACTTCCCGATTGTACACACCCCTTTTAACGCCCTCAGCACAGCCACCAGGCACCGCCATATAAAAAATAATAATTAAAAAAAAAAAAAAAAAAAAAAAAAAAAAAAAGGACATGGCCAACACCTACTCACTAATGTTTTTGAGCAGAGTTTTCATATTTCGAGGACAGCGGTGTAGTGCATTTGCCATAATCGCAGAAAAACATATTTGATGCATGCCATTAATAATTGTTACACACACGAAACGTGCAATATCTCTAGATTTCAGAAAAATGCCTTCGCCTGAGAAGTTATAGAGAAAAGAAGCGACGAAAAGCCAGGATCGAAGTAGGAGGACATGAACGTTCGACGGGTTCTTTCGCACTTTAGAAAAAGTTTCATCGCTTTTTGAGGGGTCACGCGCTTCTACGCGTTCCAGACAATAAAAAAGCATAGATGTTTGGGTTGTCAGTGGCTCTTTATATTAAACAATGCTGTCAAGGAATTAAGAACAATTAATCCTGAACAGATTTGCCAGGTCAAGACAAAGTACTTTTTGCCAATTTCTTTGTACTAGAAATTCCATAATGCCCAGTCGAATTTCAAAATATCAGTTGCACCCACATGCCCCCCCAAAAAAAAAACTTATTTAAATTTTTTTGAAGAAGCTTTTACAAAACTGGGCAATTCCTGTCCCGACAAAATAACGAGGATAAGAAAAAAAACCTCCTAAATCCAACCTTTAGTTCTTGAGATATACCATGGTGCCAGCAGAGGTATCCCAGAGAAAATCCACCCAGTAAAAATATTGTTGAACTTTTCACTGTAATCAGTTTGAAAGAACATCTAACTTTTCAAGCTCTTGGGCTCTATCTTTGAACTGGGGGGTCGGAACAGTCAGCGGCATGCCTAGTTTCTGCAAGGAAGTTTCTAAAGCAACTTGCAAATAAGATCACGTAACAGAGCTGATCATTCCCAAACTTCAGCAGCACAGCTTTGTAAACAGGGTGGCCACTACGCGGGTGAATACAGTGGGGAGGACAGGCGGGACAGAGGAAAATTGGCGACTCCCTCGCCGGGGGGAGGAGGCGGAGACAGATGTCTTTAGTATTTTTTTGCCCTAACCCCCGAAAATCTGCCTGGCGATCATCTTCCCGGTGACTGTCATAAAAACGCATTGGCTTGAAAGGAAAAATCGGCTTTTCGTTATCGTCTTTAGGCTAAGTGGCGTGAAGGGTACAGCTGTTATCATCCAACCATCCATTCATGGTGCCCGGAACAAGTCTTCAACCGGCATAACGTCTCGCATTGTCCGTGCATCAAAGAATGTCCCGAAGTGGCAAAAAATTACGTCGTAAGTGGGCGCGTCATAATCCTGGCGGTCGGTCGCAGGAGACTCCAAATAACGGATGAGGAAATGCACATGTCGGCGTCACTGCAGAGTCCCAGTTAGTGGCCGCACAACTTTTTACGCGGACTGCCGAGCCAGATGGCAAACTCTAGTTGCCCTTTGGCTCGGCAGTTCGCGTTCGCCTCCGTGGCCGTGCCAGGATTGAGGCGGGTCAGTAAGGTGTCGTCGGGCAGATATCGAGAAGTCAAACAGTCGACAGACACCGAGCGGACACGAGAGGGGACGCCGCGGTGATGGCAACCGTCCATTGGTACTTCAGGACTACCCCCGACTGCAACGTCCCGGAAGAGCACCCACCAGCTTTGCGGCCACGTGGGGGTGGTGCTGTGGCTGGTGGTGCTGCGGTTGTTGCGGGTGGTGCGGCTGGACGCGCCCCGGGTGGTGGTGGTGGTGGTGGTGGGCCATGGGGTCTGCCATCAGCTTGTGGGGGGACCAGGGGGCCTCCTGATGGGGCGCCTCCGCGGCCACCCGGGCCGCCGGGGGGAACAGCTGGGCGCCGCCCCCCAGCAGGTGGTTGGCCACCGTGGGGAAGCCATTCAGGAACGGGGGACACCCGCCCAGGCCCGAACCCAGCTGCTGCTGTTGCTGCTGCTGCGCCGGGCAGGAAACACGCTTGTCACAAACACTGTCCGAGCAGAGTCGAATACCGGACCGCGACGTCGTCATCCAATGAATGACTCAATGACTCTCCCAGACACCGACGAGAAACGCCAGGCTTGGCACTCTCCATTGCATCGTCTAGGGCAGGAGTCGACAAATTTTTTAACTCGAGAAACCCCCTTCTGGTCTCGGCATTGAGGCGGTAAAGCAGTACAGACTTTATAAGCAGAAATGAACATTACTAGTAATGTTTGGCACATAGTTGTGCATCAACGGGTGGCTTAGACCTGCTACAATAGTGTTAAAACTGAAGAATCTCTTTACCGAATGGGCAAAAATAGTCCGAGAAATTAGAAACCTCAGAGAATAAAATTGTAATACAGTCGAATCTCGTTAATTCAAACTTGAGGGAGACCAAAAGTTTGTTTGAATAAAGCAAAGTTTGAATTACCGGGAGCTTCCTCTCATAGAGGTGCATAGGATGCGACCTGCATGTTAGTTTGAATTATCCGCAAGTTTGAATTAACGAGATTCGACTATTTTTAAATACAAATCTTTTACGTCTAAGGTGAACTGAGCGAGGCTTCTTTAAGAAACCAATCCTGGAAATATCTATGAAAAGTAAGTTTTACTACTTGAATATAGCTCGAGGTTTTCCTTATCAGCGGTGTCTTTTAAAATCGCAGGTTAAACCACAACCAAAGAAGGCTGACCTAGAATAGCGAGTGTAATCACAGAGAGCATCGAGCCAACCAAGATACCCCAAAACGTCGGCCGTTTCTCCTAGCATGCCAGTGTAAAGCGGTGAAGCTTGCCGCCCTTGCGCCAGTGCAAGGAGGTGAAGCTCAATGCCAGAGCGCCTGTGCGAAGCAGTCGAGCTTGACGAGAGAAATCAAAGAATTCTGGATGTTATTCATATCCTCGAACATTCTGAAATTTCAATAGTACTTCGAACAGTAAAAGTGTGCTGCAAGTCAAATAGAAAACACTATTTGCAGATTCCTCAGTCTGAATATTCGCGCCCCTCCAAAATTCTAAAAAAATATTTGCTTTACGGCCATCCTGGTCAATTTGAATAAAATTTCCGACAAACTTGGAGACTCGTAGAATGTGTTGCAAATGAGCTGGGCACAAGCAGCAAGCGTGCAACGTCGTGCGGCAGCCCGAAGTCACGCAACAATGTGACGCCACGGTGTCGCCTCAAGGTGTCATGTGGCACCACCACACGCGAGTAATGGTCACACGAGTAATGCTCGAATGTAATGTACCACTTTTCTCATGAAACCTGGCCCTATAACACGTGCACTTGTCCTTGCCCACTCCTTGTTTATCCACTATGTTTGCGCATATGAGTTTACTTAGTACCATGAACCAACAATACTCTGTTTTCCAATAACTTGGCGAACTGGGGAGGCTAGGGCCCCACGACCCATTAAGAGCATCGGAGTAAAGCATGTGACCCGATATCACAGGAGCATTTGTGTCACTACGCGAAATGCAAGGTGCGGGGCCCGGAGGAATCGGCTGTCGTCTGCTAGCCAAGAGTCGTCTGCTCCAAAATTAACCACCTTCGGATGAAAGTCCACCGCGGCAACATATCCGTCCGCTAGAATAGCCAGCACTTGGGGAACAGTTCAACCGACAACCATACGCTCAATTTAGCCACGAAGCTGTGATGGATGCTAATGCCAGGGCACAGTGCACTGTTTTGAGCATAAACAGCCGATTGCACGACTGCTTTCACTTCCAAGAAACAGCCACGGCGCTACAAGACAAAACAAAATCTAGCGGTTACAGATGTGGTATCGCTGTTTTGGTTTAAATATAAGAAACTCATAAATTTGTGATTATTAAATCTTTATTTTTTATATTTCCTTATACATGGAATCGCGCGAGTTCAATTGCCGTTACAGAGAAAGAAGCTTACACCTACTTTTTTGTCATGGGGGGGCTTTGTTGCTGCGGCGGTAATGAGGCCCCGGTGGCCTCGACCATGGAGTGTTATCATGCACCTCGCTCCGGCGCCCTTATTGGGTCACGGGAGCAGCAGCCTCCACAGTTCGCCAAGTAATCGTGAAATGAAGTATAGGTCAACAACGAGTCTTGCTATACACGTGCCGCGTTAAAACTCTCTCGCTAATCACACTGGCTACGTCGCCGTTCAAACTTCTGGAAGGATCTACCATGTGCCTCTAAGCAGCGGCTCCACAGTATTTGCACTGCACCGCTCGATGCAACACCTTGCACCAATGTGCAAATGTTGAGTTTCACAGCTTGGCACTGGCGTGCTTGGAGAAGCTTGGTTGGCTCGATAAGGTTGGTGTGAAATACACCAATTTCGTAGTCACAGAGAAGAAACATTGCACAAAAGAGGGATGTTTTCTCGGTTTTCTTGCTCCGCCCAACTGACAAGCAAAGTTGTGGGGATCCATGGTCCCCATCTGAAAACCTCTTTAGTGTAATATGCTCCCCGTCCCACACAACATTTACAGTCTAAGCTCATTATAACAGACATTGAATTTGACCAAGATTTCAGTCTGTTATAACAGGAGTATGTTGCATGCAGATATGCAGTTTGAGTCAATGGTATGTAGAGGAAAACCAACCTAACTTCACAAATCGGTATGTTATATCCAAATGTCTGTTGTAACCAGGTCTGTTGTAATGAGCTTAGACTGTACTCCCCAGCAGTACCGGTGACGGCGAGCATTTCCTGTTCCACGCTCGGACAATTTGGAAGGGAACACCAGCCCCGGCTTTCAGTCACAGTTACAGCGACTCTATACTCCGTGTCACTAGTTGCATGCAGTACAGGCAAAGGCAATGCCAGGCGAGGGAAGAAAGCACAAGCACTAGGAAGGCTGGACGGTTGGAGAGAAACCTCCTCTCCTCTCCAACGTTTGTAGTGCTCTCTCTTTCTCCGCTCGCACATCTCTCCCATACAGCCTTCCTACTGCTCGCCTTTTCTCCCTTCGCCTGGCATTGCCTTCACCTGCATTGCACGCAACTAGTGACTGGAGTATAGGTCAAAGTTGGCATTTTTAAACGAGATGTTACGCAGCTAATGTGAACACGCAATCTTGGGACTTTCCAGTTCCTGTTGCAGGGCAAAAGCGACGCCGTCAAAAGCACTGCCACAGTGAAACGTGCAGAGCTCGGTGCTGAGAAGTCTGCCAAGGCACTCACGTGGTAGGAGTGTTCGAGGGCGTTCTCCGAGGGCCCTTCTGCGAAGCGGTTGTGTAGCAGCTGGGGCAGACCGTCCCCCTGGGCCCCCGCTGCATGCTGGTACTGCACCCACGCTGCCATCGAGCTCAGCTCCGACGACACAGCGCTCCCAGCACCTGCACCACGCACCCCGCCTCAGGACAGGCGGCAACAGAGTCCACACTGTCGCGCGTCGTTTCTTGTTTCGTACCACAAGGGATTGGAATCTCTATCGTCCTCGCTATTTCCTGTATCACGTTCAAAGGATTTATTTTTCAACCCTTTATGTAGCTTTCTCCCTCTATAAAACTCTCTTCCTATTTACCTGTGGGCCACAGGGAAATCATAAAATAAATGACAACCCTCCTGCAGTGAAAATGAAAAGACTGTGCCACCCATCAGCTTAAGAAACGAACAATCCTATTCCTATACTCAAACATTTCCTACGTCTCCCACAGAGCTACTTAATATAAGCAAAATTTACAGTATATACTGGCAGTTGCGAGGCAGAATGCAGTGCAGAGTTTCATCTGTGTACATGAATTGTGAAATAAATTATAGTTGTTTTTATCGGGAAAACACTGACATTGTTTAGGAAAGCTGTCGTTAGAAAAATGACGTCATACCCAAGCTTTTCTTCACTAGACACGCAGCAGGACGCCTGGAGAATGACATTGCGAAAACAAAATTCCCAAGAAGTAACTGATTTTATGCTAACATTCTGCTGAAAAATCAAATAAATTTTCCGACTTTTATGTCATCCACACATTGTAACATCTTTTATAAAAGAAATCCACAAAGTTAAAAAAGCAATGACACGGTTGTATTGCCCATTAAATTCCAGTTAGGAAGAACAGTGCATGAGCTTTTCCTTTTGTCCCGTTACCAAACAATACTTTTCCTAAAGTCAAATTTATTCCAAAGAGTGGAACATAGAAAAACGTGTTCAAAGTGCTCAAACCTCTACACTTTCTTTAGCATCGGTGAATCGAAAATAATTCGTAAGAAATACCTATGCAGTGTAAACAAATTTAAGTTTCTGGGAATACTCTCTAGATGTTGCTGGGTGTAAATATAGCATTTTTCGAAAAATACTTTTTTTGCAGAACATTTTTTTTTTCTGTGTAGTGTCCCTCTTCGAATGCGCATGTTTTGCAGCCTGAGTTTTGCACAACCAAATCTGTTTCTCTTGGCGAGAACAAAGAGGAATGACAACCAGCACGTTGCAACACAGTCACGTGCAAGCCACATGCGTGTAGCACGCTACAGTCTTGCACTGCTGCACGAGCCCGTCATGCGCCTCGTTTGCGCGCACTCTTGTGCAAAGGGGACGTGAAAAGAAGCCCCCGCTCGTTAAGTCAGCCTCGACAACGCCACACATATGACAATGTCGTGGCAAGGGGGAGGGGGCCACTCACTGTTGGGGTAGGACCAGATGCCCGTGGCAGCATTGGGCGGTGGGTACGAGGGGGCCCCCAGGGGCACGTTCTTCTTCTGGGCCCGCTCCGTGCCGATGGGGCGGGGCAGCTTGCGGTCGTCCCCCGGGTGGGACGACCCCACCGTGGGAGAGAGGCCCCCCTGCTGAGGGGACAACGACGAGGGGGACCCGTCGTCTGCAACCACAGAGAGTGCGCACAGTCAACCTTGACAGGTCCACATCCCCCTTGAGTGCACTTTGGTGGCCCTGACAAGGCGGGACGTTGGGCGAGACACCAGCGGTTCCGTTAAGTCCAGACCGCTGGCTATGCTTCAAAAAAGATGAGGAAGCGACAAACCTTCGATCGAAAGGTTGGTAGTACCCATACTCCGTTTCAACGTTACGATGGACCACAGCGAACACTACGAGCCATAAACGTAGGAATGTGATAGGTTCATACGACACAAGTCGTGCGATACCTTCAATGCTATGAATCTAACGCGTGACTATGCACCCCGTGCGTTTCCCCAAAGGTCAGTGGACTGGCTCAGACGGCTCCGAGCGTTGTTGGCGATTCGCCATAAGTTGAAATGAAGTATACCGTAATAGACTGAAAAACTTTAAACTAACCAAGTTTGAATAAAAACAAAAAACCCTACATTTCAGGACCAGCTCAGTTTCTTGTTCACGAGCGACTATGGGTTGGGCGAACCTTCCTTGGTTAGAGTTTAAATTTTTCAGTCAGTCTATTTATGTCCTAACCAGACAGATCTCTGTCGAACATGTTTACATTCAAATCCTTATACCGTAATATCCCGAGTCATTGCCCACCCCACTTTTGGGGGCGAACATCCCTACAAGGAGTTTGTGATCATTCATCCTACCCGAATGAAGCGACCACTGACCTTACAGTTGGAGGACACCCGTGACAAAGTAAAACAAGGGAGGAAAAGACACTTCCCCTTGTTTACGCATTTCCTCCCCCATTTCCACGTAATGTCCAGAGCAATGACTCTGGACATTACAGTAGTCTTTTTTTCCAGTGAGAGTTAGTTAATTTATACTTTACTCGTCGAAATTTCGGGATAATTCCAGCTAACCACCACAGACCATGCTGCGTGGTAGTCCACGTATAAAACGCCCCATTAAGTCACTCAGGGATCAGCCGCACCACCGGTAATTATGACTGCATACCGCCGTATGCAACTACGCCGGCCGCAGCACCTACACTTGGCAACAACCTTTCTTGGCAATCCAGTGGAGGGTACAGGCACGCATTCTCTCTCCCATTTTGAGAGCTGAAGAAAGCTCTGCATGGGCTCTCCTCCTCTCCACTGCATTGCCAAGAAAAGTTGTCGCCGAGTATGGTGCTAGTAGGTGCTAGCCGTCGGTAGACTCCCGCTCGGCCGCAACCATCCATCCAACGCTTGCAGCTTCGCGCTGCACCTTTTAGTGCTTCAATCAGCTGAACTTAAAGTGCACTCCCTTGTTTTCCGGTTGGCATTCCAGTCCGAGCTGTATTTTGAAAAGTCTCGGGTTACATCCTGCACTATAGTTGCTAACCGATTTTTCAGATATCCTATTTTTTTTAACACGTCCGATTATTCGAACGTTTTTGCCAAACCGTCACTCACCCCATAGAGTTAATGCATAACATTGACCGAAAGTTTGGATACCATGAAGCTTCTTGCTCGATATTTCGGACATAATTTGCACGATTTCCGCAGTTTACAGCCACAAAACAGTCACCGCGAGCTTAGTCACTGCCATTTCGGTTGTTTTGATTTTTCCCTGTAGCATCGATACCACGTCCTACGAAATAAACAAGCCGAGTTGAGGCAGTCGGCTTTTCCGATTCCGCTATAGCCAACATGGCCGCCGTCTGCCCATTCTTGTGGCTCTTCCAGTTCTTGTGGTACATGTTTTCCGAGTGTGACCGCGAGAAAGGCGGCCGTCCGCTGTTCTTGTGGTCTTTGAGCGCGAAGGTTTTTTGCGGATAGGCTTAGTATTGAGGCGAGCTCGGCAGACTAAATATTGTCTACAAATAGTGCCAAATGACGTCAACTCTAACATCGCTGCTTGTGCCAACGAAGGTGCCGACAAAATGCAGCACTGTGATCAGACAGATCAACAAATAAGTGAGAAGTGAATAATATAAAGCAAAAGTAGCACGAGAACTGAAAATGAACATCAAGCAAGTGGAAAGTGACCAATACACAGAGGAATATGCGTGAAAATTTGATATTTAGGCTGAAATTGATTTTTCGGACCGCTCGATTATTCGGACAATTGCAAGGTGCCCTCCGAGTCCGCAAGATTGGTCTGCGAATGTACACGGACATTTTGCCATGTCAGCATCGGTTTGAAAAAGCAGATGTCGACGGCTTCTAAACGTGCTTCTACGCAATTGGCTACCCCGAGCACTCATACTAGAACAGCACACTTCACGCCTAGGAGCTTGGGCCAGCTCACCGTTGCCACATTCGCTGCCCCGTCGACCGAAAGCTTCCTGGGATCAGTTCACAGCATCAACAAATCACAACAGTTTCTTCCAGGAAAGGGAGAAAGTCATGGTACAGCACAGGTAAGGACATCCACATTGCAGGTATTGGAGGCAATAAGCAGAAAGTAATAGCCAGTCTACCTGGCTGATAAAAAGGTGGCAGTTCCGAGCGTTCCCAGTTCTGCCCAGCACAGAAAGCGGCCCTTCTCTTTGACTTCCCTTATTAAAGAGCGTTCAAATCGAGCACACCCTTGGAATTCAAACTGACGGGGTCTTACCGTATTCCGCGTGAGCATTGAACATGACTAGAGAACAGCGGAGGGAACCGAGTTCTGGCATCGATCGGTTAGACAGAAGGGCAACGTCCGTCGTCCATAAAGAGGGGAGGAAATGCGCCTGCCTGTCGCCTTCCGCCGTGCTTTCGCTGTGCATGCACGCTCGAAATTCACGAGAAGCACCATCGAACACAGGAAGCCTGTGCCGAAAACAACGGAAGGACCGCCCTGCTGACTTTACCCCATTAGTGACCGTGGCTGCACAAGATTTAGCTTCGCACACAAAGCACCTATGCAAACATCCGAAAACGAGATACACGGGGGCAGAAGGGAGCTGCTCACCCGTGAGCCGGATGCCCAGGGGAGTGCGGTCTCCCTTGGGCAGCTGCCCGACGGGGGCCACCAGGCCGGAGTACTGCTGCTGCAGGTGGGACATCATCTGGAGGGGGAAGACGGCTGGGTGGCCCTGGTGCGCACCCAGGCTCTGCTGCTGCTGCTGCAGGAAGTCCTGGGGCGCAAAAGGAGGCGCCCGCAGGGCCTGGTGGGAGCCCAGGTGGTGCGGGGGAGGGGCCATCATCACCGGGGGCGCCGCCGACCGGCTCGAGAAGTCCGGCGCATTGGGGTTCAGCGTGCTCTGGATGGCCGAGGGTGCCGCCTGCGGGGGGCCCCCCATCTCGGGGGGCCCCAGCCCATAGTGGGGCGAGGGGGCAAACACCATCCGAGACGAGGGAGACACCGCCGCGTGCTGGGACCCCTCGTAGTACTCCTGCTGCTGTTGCTGATGCTGCTGCTGCTGGGGAGGGGAAGCGGGGGCTCCGATGGGGGGCGTGCAGGGGGCGCTGCGGGGACCGCTCCCGATGGGGCCGTAGTTGGGGGGCGTCACGTGCAGGTTGCCCCGGTAGCCGGGAGCCTTGGCCGCGTCCACCACGGGCTGGTCGGGCCCCGGTGCCTGGGGCCCTCCGGGGGGGCCGCAGACCCCCGAGGCCGCCACCGAGGCAAAGTTGGGCTTGGAGGCCTCCCGCTGGCCCCACACGCTGGGCTGGGTCTCCTTGCTGAACACGTTGTTGAAGGGCGAGAATGTCTGGGCCAGCCCGAGGGGCGTCCCCGAGGGGGCCCCCGGGGAGGCCCCTCCTTGGGCTGGGGCCGGGGCCGACAGGGTGGGAGACGGGCTGCCCCCTGAGCTCGGGGACGAGCTCTGACGGGGGTCCGCCGAGGCTGCCCTGCCCTCGGCCCGCTTGGCGGGGGAAATCACTGCCTGGGTGTACGAGGCCGCCGCCGCCGCCGCCGTCCCGTTCACGGCTGCGCTAGTCACCTGGGTGGTGGCGGTGGTGGGGGCGGTTGCGGAGGACGCCGGGGTGGCGCCGGGGAGGGGCTTGGCCGGGGCTGCGGAACCCCAGCCTGAGGTGCCCAGGGCGAAGGGGGGCCCTCCAGAGGAGCTGGTCTGGGCGCCCCCGGACAGGGTGGGGATGCCCGGCCTGGGTGCCGGCCGCGTCTGCCCAAAGGGGGGCAGGGACGGCGCCGGAGCCGCCGCCTTGGCGCTCGCTACTTTGGCCGAGCTTGCCTGTCGACCGGGCTTGCCGCCGCCGCCGGACACGAGCACCGAGGAGGCCTGCAAGGAGAAGAGGGCCGGTGTCGGAGGAAGGCACTCACCCGCCCGGATATGGGGACGCCGATTTTTATAAAAGTTGCGCCACGTATTAGATCCGCCCTCTCGAGCATGTCCATGAACTATCTCTCCAAAATATTAGTTTTCTGAAAAGTAATTTTAAACTCAATACGCACGTACCACCGGCACTGGTTGCTGCTCTACTGCCAGAATGGAGCAAGAGCAGCGCGTGATGTAGCCTATTATCCGAGATGTGCCAAGGATGGTGCTCAGTTGGCACACTTCTTTATTCTGTTAGCTACAGCTACGCGACAGGGCGAGAGGAAAAGAGAAAACAGGGCGAGAGAAGCGTTCCGGAAAAGGCTTGTTCGTGCATCTCGCCTGAAAATGAATTCATCCATCAAACGGTAGCGTGCCGATAGCACAGCGACAGAAAAGTTGAGATAAGAAGACAGTTGGAGTGCTGCTCTATTTAAAATGTTTGAATAAAGATACTTCAAATGGAAAGCAGAAACATCAGTCAGCGTCGAGGAAAAAGGCTTATTCGTGCACCTTGCCTGAAAACAAAATGATTTATCGAGATCTACTGAACGAGCGTGCCGATAGCTTGACAGAAAAATTATGATGAAAAGACAGACCGCTGTCCTTTTAAAAATGCTTAGCCCAGCCACAGCAAAGATACTTAAGGGGGGATACGGCCCCGAAATTCCATTTTTTTTCGAAAAAAATGCATTTTTAAAAAAATATTATATTTGGGTTCACTATATTCTGAAGCATAGTTTCAGAAAGCTTCATTTATAAATACGCAGTATTTATTTCGCAAAAAATTATTTTCGGCAAGCTCGCGGCTGCGCGCGGCGACCCGTTGAGCGAGCAGAACAGCGAAGTTCGGCATTTTCAAATTAGGCCTACTCCGCGCTCGTTCGACGCAGCCGAGGTATCTTACCCTCGTTGGAAGCGCCGTTTCTTCTAGTTTCTGCCCGTAGAAGCTTGCTACATTGGAGGCTATCTGTGGCCCGGGAGAACCCCGTACAAACAAGCCGAAAAAACGTGGGAACTGTGATACCAGCAATCCCATTGGTTGCGACCCGAAACGGGGCTCATGATTGGCCGCCTTCGGTGACGTAGCTCCTTGTTCGCCTGATACGCGCGCTTTCGGCTGCTTCTTTCGCTTCTGATCGTATCGCTACTTCGCCGCTGTTTAGATTCGTTTTCCCTTTTTGTTCCCGGTAGCTTTGTTCCCGGTAGTTTTTCTGCCGAGGAATGCCTGCCTCCAAGGTTAGCACTCGCAGTAGCTTTGGCCGGCGTTCTCGATGGCGAAAACCGAGGGGTCGATCAGCGGCACTCCACGCAAAGGACGGGGACCCGTCTCCGCCGGCACCATCGTCGCCGTCTCCGCCGCCGCCGTCACCATCACCATCTTCAAGCTCAAGTGCGGCTTTGCAGACATCGGAGCCTACAGCTTCATCTCCGAATGCTCATCGGCTTCCTGTCTCCTCCGAATCGGATGTGCTGACCACGTTCGAGAAGAAGCTCAGCCTGCTCGATTTCGACGCGGGGACTACGGACGACCCGGAGCCGACAGACGCTCCCGTTGAAAAGCCGCTGGACGGCTATCGGCTCCTCAGTGTGTCGGCCGTGCAAACTCTTGTTGCGGCTTTGCTCTGCCCCAAGTGCCACGGAGAACTGCTGAGCTTGCGAGAAGAAGGAATTGGCGTCAACCTTCAGTTCGTTGTTAGCTGCTCGACTTGCGGAGACATCGTCACGACACCGCATTCACCGTCAATTGGCAAGTCTCGACAGAACGAACTCGCGGTGCGTCTCGGCGTCGTTGGAAGAGACTGTGGCATCAGTTTTACGAAGCTCACGAATCTTTTCGGGGGCCTCAACGCTCCACCCCCGATGCACGTCAAGTCGTACCAGAAGATCGCGGCGAGTGACGCAATGAGGGACGCTGCGCAAGCCGTGAGGGACGCGCAACCGACCGGGAACCCGACCGCCGGCAGCGATCGTTTAGATGTCTGCATCAGCTACGATGGCACGTGGCATAAACGTGGCCATACATCGCACTTCGGAGTTGGCATTGCTATTGAACTGGAGACCGGCTTGGTGCTTGACTTTTCGGTCCAGAGCAAGTATTGCCACGGGTGCGAGTTGGGCCCCAAGGAAGACGACGAACACTTCGAGGAGTGGGCAGAAACCCACAAGGCAACTTGCCAGAAGAACTACGAGGGGTCGTCCAATGCAATGGAGGTACAGGCAGCTGCAACCATCTTCAGCCGGTCTATTGAGCTACACAATATGCAGTACGTCACTGTTTTGTGCGACGGCGACAGCAAGGCCTTCACGCATGTGTCCAGCCTTGACCTGTACGACAAGGACATCCACAAGGAGGATTGCGTCAATCACGTAGCAAAGAGGATGTATGCAGGTCTGGAGAAACTCAAGAAAACAAAAAAAGGACTGGGAGGAAAAGGGAAGCTGACCAACGTAGTGATGAAAAAGCTGACGAACTACTATGCTTGCGCTTTGAAGGACAACGCGCCTGATGTCGTGAAGATGCAGCGAGCCATCTTTGCCAGCCTGTTCCACACATACTCCACAGACGAGGAGCCCCGTCACGTGGGCTGTCCAAATGGCGAGGATTCGTGGTGCCATTATAACCGCCACAAGGCCCTTGAAGCAGCAGGGAAGCCTTCGACACCACGGCCACACAGACCAGCATTCTCCAAAGACGTTGCAAGAGAGCTTGTTCCAGTGTACAACCGGCTGTCGCGAAGGGAGTTGCTCCTCCGATGCTCCCGCATGATGACACAAAATGCGAACGAGTCTTTTAACGCCCTTATTTGGAAGTGATGCCCCAAGACGGAGTTCACCTCATAGTTCGCATAGGTGCCACCTATGCCCCAGGCGGATTTTGAGAAACAAGCTGCAAGCTGCTGCCAGCAAGCAATGCGCCCATGAAGTTGAAGGTGCCACCAATGACTCGGTTGGATTTCAAGTTTCTGGCATCGTCCGAAAATAAAAAGAACAGAAGTTGAAACTTCAATCACATTTTTCTCAGTTTCACTTTTTGACAGGAATTCTTGTTTTAGGAAAGCTATCGTTTGACATTCAGAATAATGAGGGACATCATTCAAGGTTCTCTGGGACTGAAATTTTCTGGGGAACAAGATAGACTACTTCACAGTTAAAAAAATACACTCCTTCATGAAAAAAAAAATAAAAAATTGAAACATAAAAATTTTACAATTTTTTTTAAATTTTGGGATGTAGCTATTTTCATCATAGTTGAATATTTTGCAATATATTTTTTATCTAGGTTGCACTGTGGGTATTGTTCTTCTCATTGAAGCAGGTAGTTTGCCACCAGCTAATATTATTTTTCTACGATAGACTTCCTAATGAAGTGTCTTTTTTCTGGAGTGCAAAAATCGTAGCATACTGTAAAGTTCACCGATAATGCTAAAACTTAGCAGATTATCCTTCCTCATAGTGCTGAAATAACCCTCCAAATTTGAACCAAATTGGGTGAAGGGTTCAAAAGTTGACCCTCCCAGGCCATATCCCCCCTTAAATTGGAAAGCCGAAACATCAGTCGGCGTTGAGGAAAAGGTTTGTTCATGCGTCTTTCCTGAACACGAATTGATCTATTGAACGAGCGTGCCGATAGCTCGGCGACAGAAAAGTTGTCGAGAAAACAGTCGGACCGCTGCCCTTTTTAAAATGCTTAGTCCAGCCGCAGCGAATAAAGATACTTAGATTGGTAAGCCAAAGCATCAGTTAGTGTTGCGGGAAAGGTTTGTTCATGCATTTTGCCTGAAAACGAATTCATCTATAGAATGGTAGCGTGCCGACAGCACAGCGACAGAAAAGTTTAGATGAGAAGACAGTTGGACCGCTGCTCTTTTTAGAATGCTTAGCCCAGCGAATTAAGATACTTTGATTAGAAAGCCGAAACATATCAGTTAGCGTTGTGGAAAAGGCTTGTGAGTGAGCTTCTTAGGGCGCTTTTCCTTCCACAAAAGGCACCCCGAAAGCGCCTTAAAAAGGTTTGCAATTTATAAAGCATGGTTACTATGGTGTGCCCCCGACCAGCCGTGGGTGCGTCTCCATCACTGGAGACGAGCCACAGTACCTTGCCGTGTCATAGTGGCACCTAATACGACATTTGCATGAAGTGTAAATGCAAAAAATTTTACCCCCAAATATGTGTCAATTTTTCGGGGGAAGAAGTGTGTTCATTATGCGAGTAAATATGGTAGATCGGCCAAGGTAACTTTCCACATATGTGCCCGAAGCGAGTCTTCAAACCTTTCAGGAATATTACAATGTTCGTGGAAACTTAATAACATTGTCGTCTCTTACTTTACACTTTGCTGCTCCACACGGGCCTAATTAATTTATCTTCGAAATAATTTTGGCTTCTGCCACCTGTATCCAGGAGATGCCGGGTTCGTCGTAACCGTGCGGTCAGAATGAGCTTGTGTGGATCGTCGATAGTTTCGGTGTGTCGTGCTCCTATATGCCGTGTGCCATTTAGTTCCTGTGCTCGGAGTAACTCGGAGCTTCGGAGTAGGAGGAAGGCAGCACGGACTTAACATGCCCTGTGCATCCAATGGACGAAGCACACTTGGGGCTGGGCAATTCCTCGACCCCAGCCTCGCTAGGCGTGCGCGCCACTTGGTTTCACGGTTGATCGCTTCCCTAACCACACAATTGCAGCCATTACGAGTGGCTTGGCTTGGCTTGACCTGACTTGGCCGCTTGGCGGCGAAAGAGAATTGGCTCCAAGACTTGTGGAGCCAAAAATCAAAAGTGTGTTCACTATGCGAGAAGAAGAAAAAAATCTAAATATTGATGCCCGTTGTGCGTTCATTATGCGAGTAAATACGGTATCAAAGGCCACGCACTTCGGTGATTGCATTTCATTTCCTTCCGATGGTACGTCGACAGTGCGGCTGCAGAGCGACCCATAGCAAAATAGGCGCCTGTTGCGTACAACTTCGCTGCCGCATCACTGCCGAGGTTGTAGCGGGCTATGGTACGACACATTTATGGCTTCGTCGGGCACAAATCGAGGGACCGCTCTCAAGAACGTCGTAAATGCGCTAGTCGGAGACGCTTACCAACTGGCTGGCGGACGGTGCGCTGGCCGGGAGGCAAGGGGCAGCCGCGACCGCAGCGTTGGAGGCCGCGGTGCGTCCTCCTGTGGGGGGAGCCTGCTGCTGCTGCTGGGGGACCTCCGGGGGTGCCTTAGGCCCCACCGTGACCCCGTGCTGGGCCATGATGTCCGACAGGTCTCGGTCGGGCTCCTGGACCAGCCCCGTGATCAGCAGCTGCGCCTGCTTCGTCGCCTCCGCCGAGCCCCTGGGGGAGTGGAGACAGAGGGGGCGTTCTCGGACCGCCGGATTCCAAACGACCCTCCCCGGCCGACCGCCTCGACCGCGGGGGTAGAGATGTCAAGTGGCGGTCCCGAGAAAAAGAACGAGAATGTGGGCAAAGAAAAATGCAAAACAAAATGCGGACGAAAATTTGGGTGCGCTTGCATCGTCGCAAAGCATTCGAGTTGTTTGGACGCTATGCCCGGCGTTGACGATTTTGTGTCGTGTTGTCGAGGTTAACTAGCGCAGCTTCCACCGTTAGGCTTTACCTTATTGCAGGCACACCGCAAATGTCTTCTTGGAAAACGAAGCTGAACTCTGTTCACTGCTAAGCCCACGGGCCAATGGAAACTACATGCTCGTAGAACCGGTCGTCGAGTCAATCGTTTGCCACACGATCAGGCTTGATTCTTCTGCAACCCTCCCGGGAACTCTGTTCCAAAACCCACGCACCGACACCAAGGACAACCACCCACCGTATGAGGATGGTGCGCTCTCCCTGGCCCTTGTGCTTCTCCACCTCGATGTGCGCCCCGGAAGCTTCCCGGATGGCGTTGATGTTGCAGCCGCAGCGGCCGATGACCCGGCTGATGGCGCTCGATGGCACAGTAACCTTCTTGGAGCGTCGCACCACCTCCTTCCAGCCCTCCTCACCCCGGTGGTGGTGGCCCTTGCCCCCCGCCGCCAGCCCTGCCGCGCACGAGGCTAGCAGCGACGAGGAGGCCTTCTTGGGCGACGCGGACGCCAGCGGGGACGGCCGGGGGGGACTGCGGGGGCCCCCGCACCCATCCAGCACCTCCAGGGCCAACTCGCCCAGCCTGGGAACGGGGAAACTGTGAGCGACCACACCCGAGGGTGCGGGCAAGACACCGGCCCCTTAGAGGCGCCAAATGAGCTATGCTTCAGAGTGACCACACTTCGGCCACCTTGAAGATTGAAGTTACCTGAGCTTCATCTCAAATTGATGAAGCCAGTTCAACCAGCTCACTTGAGCTTCATCTCAAATTGAAGGAAACACTTTTCTCTCCTCCAGAAATGTTAAGACAATCCGCTACGGAGCAAAGCAACGGCGCCCTTCCGACGCCGTAGCCTAAGCTTGGTAAGTTGCATTTTCTAAGAAAAACCGTCGCCAATTGCATCCGCTAAATAGCAGTGCCCGCGAGACGGTTGGGGAACAGAGCGTCTACGCTCCCGGTACGGTGCCTCGGACGTGTCTTTGACCGGCGTGTTTGGCATCCCATTCTGCCCTTGCAACGAAAGTGGACCCAAAGTGGCAACAAACGACGTCCCAAAAGTCTGAGCGTCGTGCCCTCGGACGTTGCGATACTGGCTGTTGGGTGTAGAACTTCCGGCAAAAAGCACGAGCAAGTGCGAGTGTCGCCGTCGTTGCGACGTCCCGACTCTCGGTTGCCGGAGCTTCCGTAAACCGTCGACCCGGAAAGCAACCTGCAGCATTACGGGCATCTGCTACATCCATTGCCGTTGCTGAGATACCACCATAATTGCGGTTGGCTACCATTCGGCCCTTTCACAACATCCTAGAGCATAAACCAAGGGACCACTTTCATCTGGCACAATAAGTACTTTGGTTGGAGACGCGTTTTAGGCACCATACTCTCGACTTTAGTTCGGCAGAAATGTGCGCTCGTGAGGTGACGGGGCCTGGTGCGACAGGATGCCCCCGGGGCGGGTGCCAGAGCTTTTCCCGATGGAAGAAATCTCGAGTTGCTTTAGGAGAAGGAGACTACCCCAACATTTGTGGATCAGAGACCCTGCCTGGGTTCCAAAACCAATTTCTCGGAGAACGCGACGGGACAAACGGCACTGTAGAAGAGGTCCTTCCTCCTCCCAACACATTTTTCGCCTCAAATGTCTTTTGCGAGGTGGAACACCGTCGAGCGACCACACAACTGCGCCTGAACTATACAAATGGCAGTGGGTCCAGATAGTTTCTATATAATTTGTATCCTATAACTCCCATAAACAGAACCTGTTGATCGATTGAATGAAACTAGTCGACAGACTCTTCGTGCCACCACTTTATGTGCTCCAATAGTAGCATACGAGAAGTCCCTTGCTAAAAGTTATGTGGTTTCTTGTTGGGATATATTTACTGTGCACCCTTGTCCTTCAGGCTTTCCTCACACCGCGAGCGAGATTTGAGTACAGTGGAATCCACAACAGCTTTCTTGTATGATATTATAAAAATCGGGTTGTGCAATGCAAGCCTGACAGAGCTCCACGAGATAATGCAGTAAAGAATTTTTTCTGGTAAAGCTGGATTAATTACAGAGAGCTACCACTAACAGACCAAAAGACTGCAAAGTCCTTGGTTTAAGAAAGCCTCTGCAATGTCGAAATAGAAGTAATTTTGACATGGAAGAGCCATAACATAACAAAAAAACTCAAGATACATTACGAGAAAGGAGGGGTAGCTCGTTTCAGTGCATTGAATAGCTATGCTCACACTGTGGCCAAGTGCTAAGTGTGCAAAGCTTTAATACCATCACCGGTTTATAGGATGGCAGCTAAAAAAGACTGAATTTTAAGAGATGCCGATACCCCCAAAAATCTTTTTTTAAATATTTTGTCAGACAATATAACATGGTGTAAGAAGAATACCTAATCAATATTTTGCTACCGAGTCACGTATATACCTAATAAAACCAACAAACTCAACAGCTCGAAACCAAAACAGAAACACGAGCACGGAATCTCGTGGCCAGAAGTCACGCAGCTACGTCCGATGAGTTTTTCTCTCCGCTTCTCTGGCATGTGAAGCAGACGACGAAGCTGCGTGCACCGTTTGTCGTGCGATTGTTTCGCTCTTTAATTCCTTCCACTTTATGCTCTGAGCTTTAAGATCGACTGGCCAGTACCACGAACGACAGTTCCAAGTGGCGGCCAGACGTCAGTCGCAATTTTATGTGCGAACCACATGACGTGCGTAAGCAACGGACGTGCAGTTGAGCGGAGGAACACGGCAACAGATTTCGTGTTTTTCCTTTTGTGCAACCCAATATCGAAGCAGCGGACAATGATTAACGGAGTTACCATATTCAAAGCGATAAGCAGGAACAAGGTTAAAGTACACCAAGCAGATCTACCGCTCGCGTAAAAGCTGCTGGCCGGTAAGGTTTCGGATCGGACCAAGTTTCAGTTCTATAAAATCACAATTTATATTTTGGGAATACAGTTCCAACTTCTAACGATGAAGTACTAACGGGAATACGGTTCGAACTTCTAACGATGAAATCCTAAAAGGAATCTTTTGCTAATGTGTTTTCAAGTGGCTGACGTCTGGATCCCCGGCCGCAGAGCCCCAGGCAATCTGACGCTTCACGACTCGACCTTACCTCGGCCGACTTGCTTAACCGCTTATGTTTGAGGAATAACAATCCAGTCGCAGGTAGAGTAGCGGAATCCGACACCCGAGTCTTTTCCCGCGCTTCCGACTCGGGATGCACAGGGAGGATAAACAGAACAAAGGATTGCAAAGCCGACCAGGCTAAACGCGCCCATTGTTGCCTATTGAGCTGATAAAAACCGAAAACCAAGACAAAACACAATTTTTTTGGCGCACGTTGTGCGCTTTGGAGCATAATGGCGCAAGGTATTGGCTGTGGCGCAGTTTCCACAAAATGGCGCACGATGGCACAGACAAATGCGTCTGGCGCAAAATGGCTTAAATGGTGCAGCCATTCCACTACTGATTAAAAATAGTTGGGTTCTTTCCAAACATGCTTTTTTTTTTTTTTTCTTTTTCAAAAATTTTTGCTGACTGTTGAAAGCGCCCCCCATATCATACCTACGTACTGTATCCAAGACATGCTGTCCAGTCGCACCAAGGTAGTGCGCACACATCATGCACACCTGAGGCTCCTTGTTTCACGTTTGCTCTACCCAGTGGGAAAGAGAAGCGAGCTTTCGGGCATGCTACATGTGTCACAACGCGCGCTTGTAACTTCTGTCGTAATGAACTGAAATGCTGCGTGACCATGATGTGTAGCGAGCGCAAAATATCACGACTTTTTGAGCAATTCCTATTTATAGCGAAATAGGGCAATAGCAAACACATTTCGAAATCACGTCGACCATGTAACAACCGGGTTCAACTGTACATGCAAGAGGAAGTTAATACTGTAGCATTGTACGACTGAGCAGCGCGAGTTTCACACACCCTTTGGCTGCTTGTAGGTGGGTGTTTGCGAGAGAAGAACCAAAGAACTGACGTTACGTCGTATCCCAGTGTTGCCGGACAACAGCTATCCCGCGGGCCGCCCACTAAAAAGCAGCTGGTCGCATCTTTAATTGATCGCTTTTAGCGGAGTGTGCGGCTTCACACTGACGCAACATTTATGCCGTGATTGTATTTCGTGCCTCTGAAGCGATATTGGTTCGTCTTTTGACAGTAGTTGCCCTAAATAGAAGCTTTGGAACAACGAAACCTCCAACCTGTCTGCGCAGCTTCGTTAAGCTAAGGCCTCACCATACATAAAAATACAGCAAGACGTTTCAGCTTCGCCTTTAAGAGTGGAACACGATAGCTAAACATATGAACCCCCGCTCGTTGCCAAGCTGTGCATGAGTGTCTGTGTAACCTAGTAAGCGGCGTGTCTGGCTCGCAACCGAAGAGTCGTGGGTTCCAATCCCGCCTCCACTTAAAATCCTTCAAATTTTGTTTTTCAAGGCAAAATAAACATTTTATAAAGTGAAATCATTTGAGACATGCGGCGAGCTTTAATTCGCATTACATGTCATTTTTTAATCACTTTCATTCCACGCGTAACATTACATTTCACTTGAGCATTGCGGGTTGTTTGACATTCCCGCGCGAAGTCTTGTGGCTGTGATGTCATGACCCTATCAACCAATCAAGATTTTTTCGTCCCAACGCCACCGACGCCGACGTCGGCTTTTCTGCGACACCTTTTTTTTTCAACATCAGTTGCCGAAGCCTCAAAAATGGGGGGATCATCCCAAGTTTGGATAAATGCGGTATTCTGAAAAGCCTTCAACAGTCTCGTATACTTGGCACCAACCTTTTTGCACTCGCTGTCGGGGCTACCATAGCTCCCGCAGCACCGCCAAAGCTACCCGCATGAGCAGACGTGAGTAAAGTGCTAGACAAATCCGCCCGCTCGTGCAGCGAAGCAGAGCCGCAACACCGCAGAAACTAAACTAGACTCGACGACACACCACAAAGACATTGATGACGGCCGTTTGGCGGCCGCAAACAGATCCCGGCCCCACTCACGGGCTGCTCTTCGTCCCGTCCGAATGGTGCAGGGAGCTCCTGCTGTGCTTGTTGGAGCCCTTGGTGGGGGCGACGACAAAGTCCTCGCCGTCCGCCGACAGTCCGTTCACCAACACCTCTCCCCGCTTGGCCGCGGCAGCAAACGGCTGCCTGTGGAGCGTCACAACCGCCACGCTCCGCGCCGTCTGCTGCTGCGTCGCCTTGCCCTTGCCCTTGGCACCGCAGGACGCGGCGGCCACGGGGAGGGCCGTCGCCGCCACGACCATGTGGTTGAGCCGCGGAGCAGCCACGGGTACCGCTGGGTCATGCTTCTTGTTCTTGCGGTAGTTCTTGTCCGCCGCAACCTTGGGCGGCGAGGAGGCACTGGACGAGGACTCGTGGGGGACATGGTGGCCGCCGGTGGTTTCGGCCGGCGGGGGGTGTTCGTCTTTTAAGCGCACCTTGGTGGCCAGGGAGGGGGTGGGGGTGGACTGGGAGGCACCCTTGGACCGGCTGGACGGCACCGCCGGGGGAGGGAACAGGTGGCCGGGGTTGGAGGAGCCGTGTTCTGCTAGTGCTGCAACGGGGGAACACGAACAGGCACGCTTAAGCTCGGAAAGCAATTTGGCACTGCGCTCGGCGAGGGAAGCAATATGGTGCGGAAGACTGACAGAAACAACAAAGACCCACTGTCTGCGTGCTGTCCTCTGCGCTTTGCCCCCCTGGCCCCGACATGCGAGCATCATAAAGAATGGAGGCAAAACAGATCAAATTTTTCCAGGCACAATTCCGCACTTCATTGAGCAAATAAAATGTGGTGCATCGAACCTTTCTGCTACTTGCTTCCTAGACTTTCCCTAGCTTACGTTTCTGTAAGAACAATATTGCCCAAATGCCAAAAGTCTGACTGCCTAGTAAGTTCCAGGTATTGTGTAAACACTTTGAGCCAACAATAAAGTTACAGAAGCTCTTTGTGAGGGACACAAATGGACCCTACAAAGTGATTCTCCGCAACGGGAGTTTCTCCCTCCCGGCAGAACATTACTGAAACGAAATTAAACAAAAAGAATTCTTACTACTGTCGAGACCGGTTATAACGAAATAGCGGTTACAGCGAAGTGATTTTCCATTCCCTTTTGCACTTCGTTATAACCGAAGTCTGTTATAACAAGATAGCGGATATAGCAAAGTGATTTCTGATTCCAATTGACTTCGTTATGACTGGTCTCAACAGTACATACACTGCGCTTAGAGCTTTGGCACTCCGATTCGCGATCTTTCTGTGGGTTCGGCCATTTTCGTGTTGAGTGCAGCAGAATTCAGTAATTGTTACAATTAAAAAATTGCAAACAATTGCACGAAGTGTGTGGCATTTAACAACGGTAGCTGCTGTGTTGTGGAAAGACGCATTCAAAGAGATTTGCCTTCAGCCAGTGTGCTGTACAATGTTGGCAACGCATTCTTTGCCTTTGGTGGAATTGACGCAGGAGACACGTGAGAGGACATGCGTGCTTTGGTGGAACGAATTATGCGAGATACTGCATGTGTTGGAGTAGGACACAGAGACGCGGCTTTTTAGGGGCGAAGCTCCTTAGGGTCTTGCCTCGTCTGTCCGGCGTCCGTGCTCACATCCATCTTGCTGGTGCTCGTGAGCTCACGTGCTCGTGTAGAGCAAAAAAAAAAAAAAAAAAATTTAAAAATAATGAAAAAAAAAAAAGAATGTTTGCGCAGACGACAAGATTTGAACCTGTGCGGGGAGACCCCAATGGATTTCTAGTCCATCGCCTTAACCACTCGGCCAAGACTGCGGGACGAGTAGGGGGCTCTGAGATGTGGTAGTAACTCAAGAGCTGGGATGTCATGGATGGAACGTTGCATGTAGCCGCTCAACCTCTATGCAGGAGAGGGCGCTGCGGTCAAATGCGTATATAATTGCGTTAAACTTTGCATGCATTGGCTCAACATTTATAGACGAGAGGGCGCTGCGGTCAAATGCTCAAATGCGCATATAACCACGTTCCATACCACGCATTCTCTTTCTGACATAGATGAAAACGAATGAAAGGCTCGGCATGCTGCGGCTCAGCGTCTACGCAGACAAGCACTACCAGAGCTTCGCCCCAATCAACATCCCTCACCAAGTGGAGATGCGGTCAATTTTTTTTTTTTTTTTGGCGGGGGGGGGGGGGGGTTGCAATGGCAGCTGCAAGAGGGGCAAGGCGGGAGGAAGGGAGCGTCGCCAGAGGGTACGTGGATGTAGCATGAACGAAGGGGAGGCGGAGAGCGCTCTCCCTGGTGATCTCACGGGTGTTTCAGAGTAGCAATGACCTACAGAGGAAAAGAGGGGGGGGGGGGGGGGGGGTGAGAGAGAGCCTTGTAGCAGTTGGGGTGTATGTGTGAGGAACAACGAAGAGAGGAACAGCGGTGCCTCTGCCGTCAAGTGGGGTTTTTCATTCGCGCCGGGAAGAAGCACTAACGGCTACCGCAGTAAAATGGGACTTCCCAAGATCTGGGTACGACACCGAGAAGCTCGGGAGACGTCGTTTCGCTCCGTCGTAAGCTGTTCCAACATTTACTAAGGACGGAAAACCGGTTCCCTCAACTTCAGCCGAAGGTAACTGGCAGGAACGATTTTGAGCACCAATGTGGCAGAAGTGCCTTTACTCCGACGCTTAGATAATTTAGCGGATCGAAGCCCGTCCGTCGGCTCGAACAAAAACCACGGCGATTGTTTTTCTCGGCAACCCGACGACGACCGGCTTCCGTGAGGAAAAGCGCACCAGTGCCTCCCCCGGGGTTGGGCAGCCGCTCGTCCAGCTCGCTGGCCGGCGTGGCCGAGCCCTGGCCGGGGGCCGGTGTCGGCCCTCCCTCGTCGTCCTCGTCGTCGTCCTCCTCTTCCTCCTCATCCTCCTCCTCAGACTGCGAGCTGGTCGGGGGCTTGTCTCCCTCACTCTTGGAGTCCGAGTCCTTGCCGCTGGCCGCTCCACCCTTGTCCCCACCCTCTGCTTCCAGTTTGGCCAGGCGCAGCTGCAGAGAGGGTCGTCCAGGCCGTCAGGCATGCCGGAACGGCCGCAACGTACGCACTAACGCCCAGAGAAGTACCAGCTCTAACAGACCTTCCGCTAAATTACCCAAGCATTAAAGAGAATGCTAGAAAGGCAGGTAGACGTGCTCGCCTTCCCTATACAAAAGATTATAAATAAACGACCAAACAAAAGCGTTTGTGGAACGTGCGCGTGCGAAGTAACATTTCTTTTAGATGTTTGCTTTCGAACAGTCACAGCTGCAGGTGCCAGCACGCACAGCGCGTGTACCTATGCTCCTGGCATTCTCTTTGCTTGGGTAATTCGGCAAAAGGTCTATCATCCGTATGCGGCATGCCGCCGGAGCTGTAAAAATTATCCTTAAAGGAATCGATTTTGAGACTAATGAATGCCAAAATTATTTGCGAATTTTCTTCTTCCTTACTTAAAAAACTACCTAACATCGCAATGAGCCAATTTTTCAGAGATACGTCTCGGGGAAAAGAGCAGAAAGGCTACAACAAGTTAAATCTTTAACAAGAAAAAAAAAAAAAAAAAAAAAAATGTGCCCGCACAATTATAATTTATGTTTTCTAAGCTGCTCCGATCGAGCTTGCGCGACAAAAAGACAATCTCAAAATCCACTTTAGTTTTGCGTTTGTCCGTCGTTTGTTCCTCTCGCTCTAGGGTCACTATGTCGATCCATCTTAAAGGGATTGTCCGGTCGAAACCAGAATGCTTAAGTTTTTGCACTCGTTGCTTGGAGGAAGCCTTCATATGACAAACGTCATTTTTATTTTGATATATGATGTCCCAAAACTAATTAAACCTTTCAAGAGTATGTGTACGAGACTGCGCCCTGAATTTCGCCAGTGTCGATAGGTGACAGCCGTAGATGTTGTGTGACGTCACACAACGCAAAGGATCGTCGGATGGTCGGGATAACAAGCATTGGTCTATGAATTTCTTGTATTTCCTTTCGAATTATATGGTCTCCTAGGCTGTACCCCACTGAAATATGTTTCTTGTAATGCAGTTCCGAAGCATATGCAACAAAAGTTACCTTTTAGCAGGATTTTACTCAAAAACAACCGTTAGCTTCGAGCAAACGTATGCTGTTTTGAGTCTACACAACTGCAACGGCCACCGATCGGGCAAGGAGCGCTTGCTAAGGGAAGGATGCAGATTTTGTCTTTGAAAAGGCCTATGGGTTCACATATAGGCGGACCCACTGGATCGGTGATGCGGATGCGGGTCGTGCCCTAGAGGCAATGCGCGCGGGTCGAAGCCAAAGCGAATTGTTTAAAATGCATGTAACATCTATAGGTCGTCACTTGACTTGGACGTGCTTGGTGAATCGTAGCCACGCTCCATTTTCACGTGCGGGTAAAAGACAATCGGACCGCACGCGTCTAAATATAACTTTTGGCATCGTTTCAAGATCTTAGCAACTGGTTTTGGTTTTGCTGCATAATCAGATTGATCCGATTCGGGCGAGGAGTGTGTGTACATAGCTTAATGTCCTTAGCACAGAATCACACCTCAGCTTACGAGCCTTCTATCCGCTTAGAGCTCAGCTCGAAGCTCTTTTCCGTGAAATGACTGCCGCATAAGCAGGATGGCAATCACGAGGGTAACCCAGTGCTCCCTACGCACGGCCACGATCCAGTCTCGCAGATCGCAGGTGTTGCCCGGTGGTTGTGGCACCCAACCGCACAACAAAAATCTCACACATCCACGATACAAGTTGAGCACAGCAACAAAAATTAAGCACGTGCGACGAGACGGAAATGCTCGCTTTGCGTAATGTCACCTCGGAGCTTCAATGTCGCCACTGAAAGCACTGTTTACGTTAGGATGCGATTAAAGCAGTTTAAAATTCGCTTACTCAAACAGAGGGGAATATAAAGTTCAGATATTGAGCGGACGATGCGTTTGGAGGCAATAACAATGAAATTCAATTGTTTTCTTGAACACAAAATTTGACTGGACAATCCCTTTAATGCCCTTTAAGCAGCATTAGGTTATGATTACTTCAGCTAAAATGTAATTAGGTTACAAAGAGTCATACCGTATTTACTCGCATAATGAATGCACTCCCACAAAAAAAAAACGGCGGTCAGAGCGTCTCTCGCCAACGAGCTTTGGTAGGACGCGTTGATCAAACGACCCGTCCGACACCCTCGCTCTCCGACCAGACAAGAAAAAGCCCCACCCTTCCGTAACGTGGCCACACTTCGTGGCGCGCAAACGAGCCCCGCCCGGCGCCAAATCCAAAAGCGAGCCCCAGCCGAATGACGAAAAGCAGCCCTTGGCCGAAAATTTGGCCGTACAGCCTGGCTACCTAGAAGCCTTGCAGCTCGAGAAGGAGGGGAGCACAGCACCTGCTCCTGCTTCTCCTTCTTCTTGCGACGCTTGCGCTCCCTGCGCCGGGCGGCGGCGGCCCTGCGGCTCTCCTCCCGGGACCGCTCCTGGTCCAGCTCCTCGAGCAGGATGGAGGCGCACTTGTTGGCCTCGGCTGCCTGGCGCTCCTTGGCGGCGTGGATCACCTCGGTGCACTGGTGGCACTTGCGGAGCAGCTCCTTGCTCTCGGTGCCCAGGGTGGCCATGAAGCGGGCCATCTCCTGGTCCGAGGGGAACTGGGCCACGTGCTTGACCAGCCACTTGGCCGCCTTCACGTGGCCCCGGCGGAAGGCCGCCATCAGGCACGACACCCGCCGGTTGTCCATGCTGTCAATGTCCGCCTGGGCCGCCACCAGCAGCTGCACCACGTCCAGGTAGCCACCTGCGACGGACAAGGGAGCGCTCCGTCTCAAGTGTCCATTGGGGTTACTTCCTAGGCCGGCAACGTTTGACGCCGACGTTACTTTAGTCACCAACACCGTGAAGACTGCAGCCCGATATAAGCATCACCACTGTTCATCGAGCTCGATTGTCTCGCTGCGCAAGCTCTACAAGTGTGCAGTCTCTTATTAAACAGAACGGGAAGCTCCGCTTCTGCCTGGCAGGCGTGAGAATGGGTTTCTGCGCCCATCAAGGCACCACTGTAATCAAATTTGATAAAGTGCGTTATGACATTCGAATTGGCTGATGTTTTAAATGCATAGGGTACTAACATTCTTCTTAATTAATAATCAAAAAAAAATTACAGCTTTAGCACCATTATTTACGTTTTGTTTTTTAGGAAGTAACTTTTGCGGCAGTTTTTATTTTATACATCCCTCAAGTCCATGGGTCTCACAAGCATTAAACAAAACCATTTTGCGTAATGACTTTCTTCTTAAATTTTGCGGACAAGAGAAATTGCACGCCACTAAGATGTTTTCACGTTCTTGTTCATTCCTTACTTTATTGTGACACCCGTGAACGATTATTTAGTTGATCTTGCTAAACTAGCACGTAAAGCAGCATTGCCTACAAGAACCAACAAGTGAAAGCAAGCACCAGAAGCGAAACAACCTTCTCTCTGAGCTTCTCGGCGTTGCCGCTAGACGCCGTCAATTTCACTGGAATTACCAACAACAGACATCTTTCAATTGAACTATCGAATAGGCTTCCTCAGTAGCAAGTTGCACCTCAAGGTGAGCTCTTATCTCTCTCGTGCCCTTCGGGCTCAATTTCGAAGTGCAAACTGTCTTGGCTTTCGTCACATTCCCCGCGAATCCTCCGACAGCTCTGAGTCTTCCTTGTTCGCCCTCTGCACAGGACCCGGGCAGTTGCGCTGGGGCACATTCGGCAGACAACGTGCGAAGTGAGCGCACTGCTTCGAGATCCCCCGCCCAACCCGCGTTCGGCGCCGACGTGCACGTGCTTACCATTGCAGGCCAGCCACAGCGGTGAGCTCCCTTTCTTGTTCTTGACATCAATGGCAGCTCCCCTGAGACAAAAAAGAGCATTCCAGAAATGTTCTGCTCCATACGTGACAAAGGGAACTCCTAAAGATGCCAGAGCACTTCCCTCGACAGACTGTGGAGTTAGTCTACTGCAGTTCGAATTGGAGCAAAACCTCTCTACACCTATTCTCATTAGTTTAGGGGTCGACCTACGTTCCCTAGCATAGGAATCAGTCTGCATTCGCATGAAAAGTGAAATACCACGTGAACAAGGGTCACTTATAAAAACCATTTACTTTAAAAAAAACTGTGTGATGTAAAACACCACAACCGCGAGGAAATGACAAAAAAAATGTCTTCCACAATCAATTAAAGACTTTAGACAACACTCTGGCAACTGACTTCTACTTTGGTTCGTGATATCAAGTTCCTTGATATTACGTAGCGCACTGCCTCGAGAAAAAGATTGCTTCATTTAAAGAACTTTTTCTCGAGGTCCCTCGAAGTTTGTTCTGGTGGCGTATCACCGTTAGGGGGTTGACTTGCAATTGGGGTCTCCCCACGTTCAAGCGGGCGCGTCACACAGGCCAGAGAGAGAGAGAGAAAGAGGGTTACCTCTTGATGAGGAGCTCCACGAAGGCGTAGTGACCCTTGTCGGCGGCGATTGTGAGGGCCGTGTCCCGGGAGGAGGGCACGGGGGGCGCGTTGACGTCTGCCCCCTTGTCCAGCAGGACCCGCCCCACCTCCACGTAGCCTCCAGAAGCCGCCTCCATCAGGGGGGTCAGCCCCGTCTGTTGAGGGGGGGCGGGCAGTTAGGTCGCTGCTGCGGCCGGCTTCCGAGGGCAGCCGAGACGCGTCCCCCACCCCATTCCTGCGCAGCATTCTTTAAATTCAACTAATTACGGGCGAAGTTATGCTCCAGAGTTATGATATGTGAACTAGCTTGGTACAGAGAATCGTCATTGCCAGTTATCTAACTTTTTTTTTTTTAATTAAATTCGCAAAAAGGTTATATGTTTTTCTGGAATGTTAAAAACGGTCCGGGACGGAGCAAAACGTCACCCACTTGGCGTCCGACGCCACACGCAAGGCTCGGTAAGTCGCATTTTCAAATTTTAACAATCGCCAACTGCGCCTGCTTTGCATGAACTAAGCACCAAAATAACGGAGCCCACTAGAAAATCGGAAAATAAAGTGCCGGTCCTCCAAGTGTAGCGTGTTCAGAGGCCCTAGTGCAACGATGCAAGCACGAAAGAGAAAGGCGAGACTTTTCTACCAAGTTTTCAATTCTGTTGCAGCTCGTCCCGCGAGAAAACCTTATTTCTTTCCATCTTTCATCGTGCCCGCTTGGACGTAACTTGGCAAATGGCGGAAGCTACAGACCTGAAGAGCCAATTGTGGCTTTGGAGCAAAGCACCCAGCACCGGGCCACGAGACTGTACATCCGTGGACGAGCACCGGTACAAACATTTTACAGCATTTTTCCAGCATAAATTGAAAACCACTTGTTATATGAAAGGTAAAGCCGGGACGAAGTACAGCCATCATCAATTTTAAGGTACAGTCGCTGACCGATTTTTCGGACACGTTTGATTATTCGGAAGTTTTCACCGAACCGTCAATCACCCCTGAGAGTTAATGTATAGACCGACATGCTATTTACAAACAAGCCCACACCAGGTGTGGGCACTGCGCAAGCTTCTCCACATGCGCCGTGGCGACAAACTGCTACCACAGAGGCGTGACGTCAGAGCCGCGTGTTGGCTTATAACAGTGACCGAAATTTCGGACGCCATAAAGCTTATTGCTCAATATTTCGGACATAATTTGCATGATTCCTTCAGTTTACAGCCACAAAACGGCCACCGCGATAGCGCCGCGAGCTTAGTTGCGCCACTTTGGTTGTTTTGATTTCGCCCTGTAGCCTCGATACCACCACCTACGCAATAAATATACTGGGTTGAGGCTATAGTCGAGTTTTCCGATTCTGTTGTAGCAAACATAGCCGCCGCCTGCCCATTCTTATGGTTCTTCTAGTTCTTCTCGTGGTCCGTGTTTTTCAAGTGCGACTGCGAGAAGAGCAGCCGTGTGCCGTTCTTGTGTTCTTTGAGCGCTAAGGTTTTCTGCCGATAGGATTAGTATTGAAGCGAGCCTGGTGGACTAAACGTTGTCTCCAAACAGTGCCAAAAGCACCAACTTCGATTTCGCAGTTTGTGCCAACGAAGGCGCCAACAAAGCGCAGCACTGCGATCAACCAGATCAACAAATAAGTGAGAAGTGAACAATAAAGCGGAAGTTGCACGAGAACTATTGACATTAAGAAAGTGGAAAGTGGCCAAAAGGCAGCGGAATATGCGCAAAAATTTAATATTTTGGCTGAAATTGATTTTTCAGACTGCTTGATTATTCTGACAATTTCGGGGTCTCCCCCAAGTCTGAAAAATCGGTCGGCGACAGTAATGTCCCTGTGTGTCTGCACTTATTAGAAGATTTTTCACCAATATTAGCTTATTTTTGTGCCACACTACGTCTTGCACGCACTCCACTCCTTCCCCCCTGATACTTCCTTCTCCCCACCCCCCATTTCCTCAGCCACGAACTTCACCAGTCCCGTGATCCTTAGGGTCCTCCCAACGCATCTTGTCGCAAGCTTACGCCCTCGCACCATTTAAAATGCAACGTAACTACCGCGTGGCCTCAGGGGTTCCTCCAACTGCCATCTGGAATCCTCACCTTTGCCCGGTGCTCGACGTTGGCCCTGCGGTCCACCAGCAGTGCCACCACCTCCTGGCGGCCCTGGAAGCAGGCCAGGGTCAGGGCCGTGTTCTTGTTGGTCTCGATCTGGGCATTGATGTCGCTCCCGTGGTCCAGCAACAGCTTCACCGCCGCCACGTGCCCGTTCATGGCCGCCAGCATCAGCGGCGAGATGCCCAGCTTGCTGCCCGTCCTGCGACGGAAAGGGCCAATCTTACCACTAGTGTGCCCGGACGGGAGCTCTCTGTGCGCACCTGAACGATGACGCTTGTGACCTGTTAGGACGATCTTAAGCTTTGAACAAAAAACATCAATGCTGATAAAGAAACAAAACAAAATGAAGCATAGAGTTGGGGGGTTTACGTGCCAAGCCAACGAACGACTGAGGGTTCATATCAACCACCGGGGGATCTTCTGGCAGGGAACCGAAATCTCAGTTACAAGGCACATCACAGGGTGCAGGCGGCTCCATACTTACGCGACTTACGGCAGAAATTTCCAAATCCTCGGGCGATAGAATGTTCAATCGGAAAGGCCAGTAAAAGGTTTTATTTTATCCGTGGAAATTTTAGATCCGCGTCGCGAAACGTTAAAGAAACACTTTATTTTTCTTTGGTAAGAACGATCCTTGATTACGCGTGCGTTGTGTGGGACCCTTATCACGACTTCCTTATCAATAAACTGAAAAAATTCAAAATCAGGCCGCACGTTTTGTACTGAACAACTATGACCCTTATGCTAGTGTTACAGATATGAAAGCCATGCTGGGATGGGAAACACACGAATGTAGACGAAAAAAACTAAGACTAAAATTTTTCCACCGTGTCTTTCACAACAAAACAGGAATTGATAAAGCCACTTATCTTATGGAGCCATCCTACGTTTCTTCCCGTTGTCATCATTCTAAAAAGGTTGCTGTTCCCACTTACAGGACTGACAGTTTTGCGAATTCATTTTTTGTCAAAACCGCGAGAGAGTGGAAAGACCTCCCGGAAGATATTGTGTCCATTGATGATAATGACGTTTTCTTTTTCCACTTGTTATAATGTTTTCTAAAACCGCCCTACAATAATGCCCACAGGGCGATGTAGGTACAATGTAAATAAATAATAAATAAATGCAATGGCCTGGTACGGCATACTAGAGCACATTACGGCCACATAATTCCCAACCTCACTGCCAATCATGAATTGAAAGACACTTAGTCTTCAGCAAGAGACATCGGGGTCCCCAAAACGTAGCAACTAGTCTTCGACGGGCTCAAACGAATGCTGTAAAAATGGCGCTGAAGAACTGTCTCTGTAGCACGGCACAGCCTTGTCAAAGGAACAGTCCAATAAATTGGGTTGTTACAATACAACTAACCCAGATTCTATAGGTGCACGTTTCCTCTGCGTACTGAACGAGCGCAAGCATTTAATAATTTGCAACAGCAATGTTAAACCACCTACCCTCCCCCAGGTAGGATTGGCAGCATTTCTAAATAAAAAAATGACCGTATCTCGGGGCGAAGCTCTGGTGGTGCTTGTCTGCGTACACACTGAGCCGCAGCATGCCGAGCCTTTCGTTCGTTTTCAATCATGTCAGAAAGAGAATGTGTGGTATGAAACGTGGTTATATATGCATCTGAGCATTTGACCGCAGTGCCCTCTCGTCTATAAACGTTGAGCCAATGCATGCAAAGTTTAACACGATTATATACGCATTTGACCACAGTGCCCTCTCCTGTATAGACGTTGAGCGGCTACATGCAACGTTTCATCCATGGCAGAAACCCCAGCTCTTGAGTTACTACCACATCTCAGAGCCCCCTACTCGTCCCGCGGTCGTGGCCGAGTGGTTAAGGCGATGGACTAGAAATCCATTAGGGTCTCCCCGCACAGGTTCGAATCCTGTCGACTGCGCAAACATTAATTTTTTTCATCATTTTTTTTTTCCCTCCTACACGAGCATGTGAGCTCACGAGCACGATCACGAGCACGAGCACCAGCAAGATCGATGTGAGCACGGATGCCGGATGGACAAGGGTACACCCTGAAGAGCTTCGCCCCTAAAACACCGCTGCAAGGTCTAGCGCAGCACAAGGCGTTGCTTGCTTCCTACTCGCAACATATTGCTGCACAGAAATTTCAGCAGCGAGGCTCCTACGCATTAACTCAAACTTCGTCCTCAATGCCCATTCAAGGTTTACGGAACGTACCGCAAATACCGCATTGCCACGACTCTTTGCATGCAACTGCAATTTTTCCGAAACAATCAAAAGGCTTGCCGTGAAAACTGCCGGACCACAAAAACAATGCAAGGCATCAACTTACGTGCCGTTTGACAGAAGATGCTAGTCCGCACAAGACCAAGCGCCAATGTGGCCCACTGGCCAACTACGTCGCACGGTATAGTGGCACAGTCACCGACAGATATCTCGGACTTCGCAGGGACCGAAAGAAACATCCGAATAATAGAGCAGTTAAAAAAATCAGCAGATTAAAAAAACTTGTCTTTATTACATCTAAGCAGGCTTAAAAAAAAAAGCTGTAAATACCGTATCTACTCGCAGAATGAACACACTTTTTTTTTTTCCGAAAAATCGATGCAAAGTTAGGGGGGCGTTCATTACGCGAAGTAAACTTTTTGCGTCCATATTTACTCGCACAATGAACGGAACTTTTATCATGAAAAAGCAACGTAACTTCTTATCTCTTTGAGCGCGGCGCGCGATCACGTAACCAAACTGGGCTGTGCAAAAAAGAAAAAAAAAGCTCCTCTTGTTTTTGTTTTTCTCTTAGTTACGTGGTTTTTTGTTGTTTTTTTTTCCTTTTGCCGCCTTTTGCAAGCCGTTTTGTTTGCTTAGAGGGCTTCTCCGCTTCTCTTTCTTACCTCCTCGCGCGCGGCACGCAACCCAAAAGTCCTAACTGCGCTGTGAAAAAAAAAAAAAAAAAAAACAGCTCCTTTCTATGTTTTTTTTTTTTTCTTGCTTCCGTTGGCTCTTCTCAAATTTTTTTTAATGCCTTTTGCAACGCTGCCCATGCATTCGCGACCTCGCTGCACCAGGATAGAAAAGTGCGTTCCTTTCGCGCGCGTGGGGGGAAGGGGTCAAAATTTTGACGTCGGAGTTGGGGGTGCGTTTAATACGCGAGTGAAAAAAAAGTTGAAATTTTGAAAGCCGACTTTGGGGGGTGCGTTTATTACGCGAGTGCGTTCATTGTGCAAGTAAATACGATAGTGCCTTGCTTCAGGATACGTCTGCGCGCCTCGTTTTAGGTTATGCCTGTTTTTGTTAGGCCACTTTCTATTAGCTTGAGAACCACTGCTTTGTATAAACAGCATGTAAGCAATTTGGCGAGCGACGATACAAGCGATCGCAGCCCGCTTCGCTGTCGCTCGGTCAGTCACACGACGAGGCAAACCGTGTGAAAGCGACGGGGGCAGGCAACCAAGGCAATGAGCAACTTTTTCCTGGAATCCAAAAATCGAGCAACGCAACGAGCGACAGTGAGAAATTTTTGTCGCTCGTCGCCGACTCTTGTCGCTGTCGCTTGCTTCGTCACTCGCTAAATTGCTTACGTGCGGTTCAGCCTTTATGGTTAGCGACACTTCGCAGCAACGGAAGAACAGATGGAACAATGACGTACAAGCCAGGGTAGTCCAAAAATACAATTAACAAAGACGAGACGAGAGGTGCAAGTCCACGACTGCAATGGCGAATGAACAAGGCAAAATGGTAACAATGATGATGATAACGATGCACAGCTAGAGAAAAAAAACGCCATATTGTCACCTAGCGATAGGACTTGGCAGTAAGCACTCAAGTAGCTCTGCCAAACCAAGCCAATCCATGTGCAGCCAAAATAAAATCTAAAATGGCGGCTTCTCGGTGCTGTTTCCCGCTGGCCGCTAGCAACGATTTTGTCCAAAAAATTTAACTTTTGAACTTCAAGCTGTCCGAAAACATCGGCCATGAATATACACTCTTTCTATCAGGTAGGTCACGGTTCCCCCTTTACGTCTCAAATATTGAATAAGTCCGAATTATCAGCGTCTGAAAAATCAGTCGGCGACTTTACACCTCTTTCCCCCGTGCCAGACCGGGCCACTCACCTCGAATTGATCTCAGCTCCGTGCTGAAGCAGCAGCTTGATGATGTTGACGTATCCGCCAGACGCTGCCAGGCTCAAGGGGGTGTAGTCTGAAACGTTGCGGTGCTCCTTGTTGGCCCCACGTGCCAGTAGAATCTCCACCACCTGCACCACGGACAGAGATGCGGCGTCATCAGGAAGGGAGGCCTCAAACACCACTTTCCAGGAGGACGAAAACACAACACGTTAAATCCCAGGTAGACGTGGCAACTTTTAAATCGACCCCAAAACTAGGTCACCCAGCTCTGTAAAAACACGGTACCACTAAATGCATGAAATCTATCTGAAGCACACTAAACCAAGTTGCGCTGGTCCCTCCGTAACCAAGGTCCAGGGGTAAAATGTCTATCGTAGCTTTTACAGCGAAACTTTCTATGGGTAGGTTCTGGCAGATTGTCTCCGGGGTCAGTCTGAGCGTAGACGAACAATTTCATACAGTTCATGCTGCACATGCCGGCGCCGCACGTACGCGCCTTCCCACTATAAAAGATAAGAAGTCAATAACCAAAATAAAGCGTTTTTTCTGCAGTTTAATTTAAGCGCTATTGTCAGCGAAACTGAGACACTGATTGAAGCAGACCGTCGTATTTTCCCGCACACGACGTTATGGGCAGCAAGTGCCACATAGCAGTGCCTACGTACAACAGCGAACCGGCTACTCGTGTAACCAAATTAATCCAGGTCGATAATGCAAAGCAAGAGAGAGAGAGAGAAGGGAGGGAGGCGCATACCTCGTAGCGTCCCCCCGAGCAGGCGAGGGAGAGGGCCGTGTCCTTGGTGCGCTCCGACTGGGCCTCCAGGTCGGCCCCGTGGGAGAGCAGGATGTCCACGACCCCCGCGTGGCCGGCCGTGGCCGCCAGCATGAGCGGGGTGAAGCCCTTCTTGTCCCGGTGCTCCAAGTGGGCCCCCCTGCTCAGCAGCAGCCCCACCAGCTCCTCGTGGCCCCCCGCACAGGCCAGCGTCAGGGCAGTGTCGTGGTTGCTCTCCGTCTGCCAGTTCAGGTCCACCTGCAACCACCCACCAGCTTTGGTCACCCCGCTTGTCGCCCCCTTGAGCGTCCGTCCGCTCGACTGTACCAAACTTTCGAACAATTTTTGCCTAATAAGCTAATTTTTGCAAGGTTGAGTTTGTCGGTACACTGGCTCTTATAACTACTAAAAAGGCATAAGACTTGTTTACAAACTAAATTACCGATTACATACAACACCAAGCTTGGTTGAATATGATTCATAAAGGGGGGAACTATTCTTGATTGCCACGCTCCCGCCTAGAGAGGAGAGGAAGTAGAGAATAAAGTTATAAACGTTACGAAAGATTCCTATGCTGGAAAAATGGGACTGTACCAAACACCAAAGTTGGGCCCTCTACAGGGAGAAACCCAGGCATGGTTCTCTTTGGAAGCAAACAAGAGCTTTTACGGCCTTCGCTCCTCCGTATGGTTCGTCCCAGGTACCAAGCACTTTTGCCGCAAACGTTTTGCATTACCTGTCGGAGGACGGCGCGGGGCACAGATTGGATGGGAATGCTCCGTCTGTGCTCGGTGAGGACGTCCATTCGATCGACAAGGAAACGAGCTCTACCTAAACGCTGAAGCAGCACTCGTGCCACTCTTTTCCATTACAGGAGTGCGTAACGGGAAGTGGCTACGAGACAGCCCTAAACAGATTTGGTGCTAAAACAACATGCCTGGCACCCGAGACAAATGACGTCTCTAGGTGCTTCGGAAATGAACTAGCCCGTGTGCCCTTTACAGTAAAACCCCCTTTTCAACGACAATGGCTCGAATACTTGCAAAGGCGCCAGCACGCTCGGGCGGACGAAACTGCTATGAACTCGGGGGGGCGTAAATACAGCATCAATTTATTTTACAATTGTCCTATTCAGGCAGTTATAGACTAAGGTTTCTGGAAGCACTGTGGTTAAGAGCTTCACTGGCACTCCGAGTACATTGCGAGCTAGAACGAGGTGGCCCCACCTGTGCATGGATGGGAAAGGCGGCCGGGTGGAAGGCGAGCGCCGGAGGTGGCAGGCCCGTGGGGGCCACCCCGGGATGTCCCGCCGCCCCCGGGTGTCCCTGCTGCTGCTGTTGCTGCTGAGGGTGGTGGTGGTGGTGATGGTGGTGGTGGTGGTGATGGTGGTCGGGGCACACCGCCTGCTGCGCCGTAATGGACACCTGGGCGGACGCTGCCGCGGCCACTGCCACCGCCACTGCGGAGGGAACGCCGCCGGCCACCGCGGGACCTGCGCCACCAATGGGAAGGGTGTCACCAGAGACCGACTTTGGCGCCGCATGTGTGGCCTTTCGATAAGATCGCTATGGCGTATTTAGCGCAATGAGATTGTGTATGGTGCAGATTGTAACTGCCATACTTGCACAAATATAACGCAAATTTTTTTTTCAAAATTACGTGCTCCGAAACTAACCTCGCGTTATATTCGGAAGCGAGTTCAGCCAAGAGGCGCACGAGTCTGGAGAAAGCCATCCCTGCGTCTCGATGCAGGAGATTGGGTAGGAAAAGAAATGGAGTGTGGGAGGGTATTTGTTAGCTATTGGGCCACGTAAAGGGGGGAAATAGAAAACAAAAAAACATTTTTGTCGCTTTTGTGTTTGTACAACGCACCCGAAAAAGCATGCTGCAGAAATGCAGCACGCCACGCAGGAATGCTGGCACTGGCGAATTCAAGCATAATCAAGCCAGGCCCAGACAACACAAGCCAAGCCAAGACCACCATCCGTGTTTAAAGAACGAGCGTGATCCTGTATACAATCCAACAGCACTTTTTTTCTGCCTGCATAATTTTTAGTTTCTGCTTTAGAGTGCTCGGGTATTTGTGTGTTGGGGCTTCTGCTTCGTGCCTTGCTTTGCTTGTGAGCTGCCAAGGAGCTCACGCTAAAGAAAAAGGAACTATCAGACAAGCGGCGCCATGCTGCTACATAGCTGCGAAGTTGCTAAGTGGATTGCAATTGGAAGGACCTGAGCAATGACAATCAGTGCAGTGAAAAAATACTGCTATTTCTTCGATTTCCAGTACCTTCACACTTCTGCTATGCCCCCAGTGCAATAAATTTACATGGCCTCAGCTCGCGTTATAATAGTAAAGATATTTTTGAAATTTTCTTTTCTAGGGCATCAAAAGCCTTGAGTTATATTCGTGCAAATATGGTAGTACTGAGAGAGGAGCCCATAGACCCCAGTCAAATGGCTTCGAGATATGCACGTCCCCTAGTTTCTGGCCGAAAAGAAATCAGCGTGGCCGAATTCATTTTATCCCTTTCGTCCGTGGCCAAGCGGGATGGATTGCTGGGGGGGGTTGCGGGCCTGGCCGGAAACACCTTCATGACACTGCTGCCTTGCGGTGAAGGGTGCATAAAGGGAATTCTCCACAACGGTTGCCAAGCAAATAGGTATGGTGGCCAGACAATGTAAAACGAATACCACAGGATGCCTGCCCAACTAGGTTTTCAAAGTCACCGACCTGACTGCTTCACGAAACTTCCCCGGCTACTTGGATGAAAACCACAAACCAAAACTGTCAATATTGGCAATAACAGTGCACAATGGCAGACTGCAATGCCCTATAAGGGGTATTGACTGGGCGCCATATTTGAGGGCGATGTTTAGGGTGCGTGCTTAGAACGAGTTTATATTAATAGGCTGCTAAGACCGGCAATCTCAATGGTGTGGAGTGCCTATGGCAAAAGGAAGGTGAAAGCTCTTTGTCAGCACTGGATTCATAATTCTCAAAAATTCTAAGTTTACTTTTGCTACGTTCCCAATTTTTGAAAGCTTTGAAACAAAAATATTATCAAACACAAGCATATTCTAAATTCACTTTTATCTAATGATATTTCTTTAGCTGGAGTTTGCAGTGGCTTTGATGCCACTGGCTACAAACCTTGCAAACAAGTGTTTCTTAGAAAAACATACTTTAAACCACTAACCATCTAGACATAGTCGCTGGGGTGCATAGGAGCTCCAAACACTTTGCCCCATCCCCCCCCCCCCCCCCCCCATTATAAAATTTATAAATTTTTTTTTTTTTTTTTTTAGTTAGAAAGCATGATTTTTATTTCTCTAAGAAGCAGAAACAGAATGGTCCAAACTGGACATCAGGACAGTCGCTTTCGCCATGACCCAGAAGTGCCAATGGCATGTTTTCCTGAACAAACTAGATATAAGATAAACTTCCTTTTTGTCAATAGTCAGATTTGAAAGAAAACTGAAGTTGCCTCTTCTTGGAACCACTGACCCTGTGCTCTGACAGAAGTTAGTCTTCTTTTTGCCTTTTTTACCACCGTCAATTGGGAATAATGTGTTTTTCATCAAACATTGTACTGGAGAGTGTTTTTTTTTTGTTTTTTTTTTGTGGATTATACTAGATTTATTTGAAAAAACAAAACGCTATGCAAAAGCTAAAAAATATATATATGTTGCTTTCGGAGCTTCGATTGCACACTCGACCGATTGCCGACACAACTCCCCATAAACCAGAGTAACTGGGACATGTCTTCGACTGGTGTTTAGCGTCCTACACCGTTGTGCAATGGTCTCGAGGCAGCTGCCATTTACGTCGTAGACACCAGCGGATATATATTGCCCCTTGTCGCTTCTCTGGCGACCGCAACTAGTGCGGGCAAGCACAAGCGTCAAGGCATTTCAACTTGAGCGGACTATCGAGCCGTAGAGCAATCTACGGCCCAACAGGTGTCCACCGCTTCCACTTCTGCCACTGCACCACCGCCAAGGTCGCAGCAAGCAGCAGGAAGACATTTCCTATAGTCGGTTACAAGCCAAGAGGGTAGGAGAAGCTCCTCCCACAAGCGTGATGCGTCCGCTTCAAATCCCTCCGCAGTCGAAAGAAGAGTTCACTGGAAACGCTTCTTCCACTTCAATGGATAGATATTGGCTACAAAGTGATGCCAGTTTCTTTCCGATTCCACTTTTTAAGAAAGCGACCTTTGTATTCATAAGAGAGGGAACCGAGCCCCTGAAAGCAGCCTTTGTATTCATCGGAGGAGGAGCCTAATCCCCGATAGTCGTATTTGTTTCCACCTTAGAGAGAAAACTCTAATCTCCCTCTCGTGGCTTCCACAACACTAAGTCAAAATCGAAAGAAAAAGCAAATATGTACAGGAAGGCAAGACCCTCCTTGCGCGTTGGCCGCGACGTCACAGAAACGATGGGACGCAATTGGATGCGGAGGTGGCGGAGGGATATATGATTCCCTTTGAGGGGCATTTGCTGCTACCTTCTTGACTTGTAACTTACTATAGTCGTTGTCAAGCGGCAATCAAAGGACCGAAAATGACGACGCAACGGACGCACCAGTCGAAGACACGTTCGAGGCACTACACCCAACACACTAAAGAGCCGAGCTCGGATCCCAAAGAGACGCGACTCGGCCGAGACGCGTGCGGGAGCAACGCCCGTGTATGAGCTCCACCGAAGCCACCCACCAGACACGATCTCCCCGAGGGTCTCGTGGAGGGTGCGGGCGGGGGCGGCCACCATGAGTCCCTCGTCCCCCTGGGCGGGCGCCGCAAAGGACGCCGCGGAGGTGGGGCCCAGCGGGGAGGGTGGGTAGGGGGCCCCCTGGGGGGACTGCACGCAGCCCTGCTGGGACGACGAGGAGGGGGCACACAGGGGGGACGGCCCCACCGCCAGGCTGCACGCCGTGTCCTTGGGGGCGCACGCTGCCAGGGCCTTGGGCTTCGCCTGGAAGCAAAGAGGAAACCCCGTAAGACCCGCTCCAGACGCTCGTATGGGCTTACTTTAAGGCGAAGCTCGCCGTAAACGCGGACGTCTGCACGTGGCCAAGGTCGGATTCTCGTCCGAGGCGCATTTTAGTGGCGCACTTTGCTTCGTGTAATTTCGAGGTAAAAATACTCTATTTCGGTGAGAAGTGAGAATGGCCGTTGAGAATTCGGACGCGGGCCACCGGCACACCTCGTCAAAGTATCAACCGTCACACTTCCGACACTTATGAATACAAAAAAAACAACCCCAATGAAGGATCAATTACGTGCACAGCAATAGGGGAAAGAGTGAAAGATGTTCACCAGCATGACCATGACAGCTTACTGGAATTATGAAGGTTAAACCACATCTAAGAGGAATGAAACGTCTGCCCCGACACAGAGTTAATATAGAAAACAACCTCTATATAATGAACATCCCTTTGAAGGATGCCCAGGTACAATGCTGTAGAATATTTTACTAGAACCAATTCTCATTATAGAGGGTTCACCTGGCTGACGGTATTGTTTAATTAGTTTAGACGACACAGCTGCCTCATCAATCTCCCACAAGTGACTTCGATTGGGGAAGTTCCAAAAAACTAATTATTAGCCAAACGTTAGTTGATTGCACAAAATTAAAATTCGAGACTAAAGACTTGAGGACTGGGGAAAAAGCGAAACAACAGGGATTAATTAAGATCTCGCTAAACTCTGATACAACTTTGTTTGCATCTATCGGACAGGTGTCCAGGGGTTGGGTTGGGTCCACGCACCTTGTCGAGGTGCCGCTTGGCGGCAGCCGGTCCCAGGGGTGCGGCGGCCACAACGGGAGGCGTGGCCGTGGTAGAGGCCGAGGGAAGGTGGCAGGAGGGGGCGGCCAGGTCGGGAGGGGAGGAGGGAGATGAGGAGAGGGCCGCATTGCGCAGGTTCAGCTCCTCCACCTCCTCGCACGGGGGAACCAGGTGGTGGTGGCCAGAGAGCACCATCTGCGCATGCGCCTTCTCCTGCAAACCGGCGCAAGACCCCACCCCCATCAGGCGCCCGACCACGCATGCACACGCTCATTCAGGGAGTTACATCCAGAAAGCAGACGAGAAGTGCAGACATCTGGGTGTCTGTCTTCTCTGCGCACTGCCTTTTAGCTCTCGGTGTTTTCGTATTCGTGCCATGTAACCTCGATGGTTCCGTCGCGCTGATGATGCGACATTGTGGCGTCGGGCAACACCATGACTTGATGTCACATGATCACGATACAAATGTTATATGACAGAACGGCGTCAAGTGACATCTTAATGTTACAGAGGATCCATATGTGATATTCATTTAAAGCGCCTTAGTAACATTTATGCACATTCTGATGCCTCGCTTAAGTCAGCCATGTGATATTTTCCTTTTGTGTGTTCGAATATTTGCCCATACTCTACTTCACAAACGTCTGGAGTGCAGAAAAAGGCACGGCCATCTACCTCGGCAAAACGCTTCCGAGTGTTCGGAAACTCGCACACAGAAGGCACATTCGAAGGCCACATCACAGGCTCGCACTAGTGCCTTCGTCAGCGCCGCAGGCGATCGTAATTGGGGGGCTGTTCCCCCCCAGGCACGCCATTGCATTTCTTTGTGAGAGCCCCAAACAACCACACTTTTCGTCTGTTGTCCAGGCAAGACACGCTTAGCTATTCTATATAAAGAATACCACATGCTTAAAACGCCGGCCCCGCCGTCACGAAGCGCTGGTTGACCTCGCTGCTTTCAAATGAATCCTCATTCTCTCTTTTATGAATTCCACAGTGGAGTCTCTTTTTATGAATTCCACAGCTCCGCGTGAAATTATAGCTCGTGACATCGCGAGACTGGGACCAGACTGTGTTAGCACCTCGTCGCTTGAGCTTTCAGATAAAGACCGGCAGTACATGGAGCAAGGACGGTAAACCAGTGACAGTGTTGTACTAAACACGTGATGTGCATTTTTTGTGTTTGTCCTTGATTTATTTGGTGTGGTATGTATGCTATGTATGCTAAATGCTAAAATAAATAAATTTTCAGTTGAGAGTCAGCGCTGTGTCCAGTTGGTTACCTTTTACTTCGGCCTCGTCTTTGCGCTTTTTGTTTTTAATTACGTTTACATACCAACTAGCTCAAAATTCTATGTTAATGAGCTACCGTATTTTGTTTATGAAGGAAGCCAACGGATCTATTCTTCTGTGGAGCGCATGCATAGTAGACGTACTACAATCTAAAGATGAGAGTAAGTAGACGTACTACAGTCTAAAAATGAGAGTATGGAAGGGTGGCCAATGCCCAGTGCGGTCGCCATCTGTGACTGAACAAGGGAGCTGTAGTCGTTCAGACATTCCCACCGACACAATGATAAAACAATCGACTGACACGAGGATAAAACAATAAGATATGAGGGGGCGATCAACAAGTTTGGCCTCCCAGGCTGTAACTTTTGTATTCAGCGATGAAATTCAAAGATGTTACATTCAAATTGAAGTTTGAAATCATCTCTTTTTAGAACCACAAAACCTTTCAATATAGTCAGCACCGGTGGCGATGCGCTTCTGCTATCGGTGCGCTACTCTCTGCATGCCATCGTAGATGATCGAGAGCGACTCTTGACGAGACCAATGCCGCGCTGGAGGAGCAGCAGTTTTAAGGTGTTTTGCCTCGTGCACCTTACAGCCAGCACTTTGCACCACAAGACTTTTGGCTGTTTGCCGAGATAAAGGAACATCTTAAAGAGTAACAGGTTGCTTCCGACAAAGAAATTATTGATGTAGCGTGCAGTTGGTATTGTTAACACCCCCCTCAATCGTTTAGAGTGCGTGTGAAGAGTAGTGCATCACCACTGATGTGGACTATCGTGAAAAGTTACATACTCCTGGGAAAGAGGAGATTCCAAACTTTTATTTGAATGCAACAACTTCGAATTCCAAAGCTGAATAAAAAAGCTAAAGCCCACGAGGTAACACCTATCGATCGCCCCCTTATACGTAACAGTGTCTACAAGTGCCAAGTGCGCATTCGAGCCACACTGCACTCATGTGCGCTCCGAGCCAGGCAACAACTAAGAGTAGACTGCCGTAGCTTTTTACCGGCTCGGGTACAGCAAGAGACCATTGAAAACCAGAAAACTTTTTGCAGGTTCAGCCGAACAGTAGGAGACTGATCTCGTTCCCTCTTTACATTGGTCTCACGTTTCGCTTTGTAGAGCTTTAGGGCAGACTCACTCATGAAGAACACTCAACTGTCGTAGGGAGACTCGCAAAAGGCTCTATCCCTCCACCAAAGATCCAAAAGGTTAAGCCCGAATTTTAATGTTCCATTCTTGGTCCCCAACATCATGGTACCTCGAGCGCATCTCCGACTAGTGCATTCAGCATTCTACCCCCGCCCATACATCAAAAGTGGCCCCGAAGTGGCAACAAATGACGTCGCGGGAGCCGGAGCGTCACGCCGTCAAGCGTCACGATCCTGGCAGTTGGTCGTAGGACTACCGACAAAAAGCACGAGCAAACACGAGTGTCACCGTAGTTATGACATCCTCCCGGTTGCCAGAGCTTCCGTGGACTGTCAAACTGGAGGACGACCTGCGGCAGACTGGGCGTTTACCCCACCCACCAGAGCTGTTGGGACGCCGCCAGGATCGCAACCGGCGACAGCGCAACACTACTGCGATATCACCGAGCCGAAATCGAGTGACTACTTTTCTTTGAACGCGGTAGGCACACCAGTTGAAGACGCAATCCAGCTGCACTATGCTGACATCGAGGGGCAGCATAGAGCTCCTCTCATGGAGAAAGCCCGATTGCACGTCCAGCCATACCGCAACGTCTGCGAATGGATGTGCTCTGTGCGGGACGTGCTCTGTGCAGGACGTGCAGAGTGCCCGAAGGGTACCAGCAGACCCACCTGCAGCTCCCTCTCGACCCTCTGCAGCTCCTCGAGGATCTGCTGCTTCTGCAGGATCTGCTCCTCCCTGCTCGGGTGGTTCAGCTCCGCACTCCGCATCATGCTGTTGATGCACGCCTCCAGTCGCTCGCTTGGCCGCAGACCCTGCAGCGCGCACCGGACAACAACGACCGTCAAGGCGGGTTCGTGAGCTCGCGTTCGACTGTGCTACGACCGCTCGCAACGACTTGCAACGGGCGGTGTGCCTAGATTACGGCGTTCCCCACAGCTCGAACAGCGTCGAGTGGTTTATGGGCTGCATTTGCAATATGAGATACAAACCGATTTGCGCAAGCGGTGTCGTCGTCATATATAAACGCTCTTCATGTTCTTAGTTGCTTCCTCTCTTAAATTTAGGCTCTCTACCGACGAAACAACGGACTGGTGCCATCTATTGTGTAGCCCGGAAACACTCGAGATCTGCATATATTTTACGTACCACTCTTCGCCACGAGCTTAAAATATTTCTGACAACATTATACAGCAGAACCTCGTTGATACATTTTGAAGAAACCCAATGAAAAAAAACCCTATTACCCGGGAAAACATACAATCCAGACTTAACATTTTTAAGCAAACACACACCCAAAAAGAAAAACAAGCAATAGTTCAAAAACAAGCCTATCTGCGATGAAATCGCTTTCGCGATGCCATTGCAGAACGAAATGAGCCTACACGACACAGGAAAAATGGCGAAATGGGATGGCACGGGCTTGGGGCGGACTTGATAAGCAACCGGAGCTGAACCAACGCAAAGAAAGAAACGAAGAAATGGCAGATTCATTCATTTACTACTACCGCTAGTACTCCCTCGTACGTCCTAGTCTAGAGTTACTCTTGCGCACTCTTTCAATCGGTGCTTTCAACCCTCCGAACAAGGGCTCAAAGTGCTTGCTGGAGTTACCAAAAGTGATCCATAATCAATCGTCTACTTTGCAAACGCTTGAAAAGCCAAAAGCAAACATACTGCTCCGGTGTTGACAACTGCAGTGAACATGCACTCGCACGGGCAAAGCTCGATCGGTAGACAGCTGTATTCAGGTTTCGATTTTTACGCTGCTGCTTCGGTTGCCCGTTACGACAGCATTCCTACCACTTTTGCGTGCGGTAGACTTGACGTAAGGAAAATGAATGACAGCATCAGATGGATGCGCTGTTGTTACAAGCAGTTAGCACGCCGATGAAGCGGTGCGGATGCTAACCATCAACAGCCGAGAACGCCGGCGAAGAGTGGAGAGATTCTCGCCCAGCCGCCGGAGTCGCGATCGAGATGCGTAAAGTATGTATTTGGAGTCCTTTGTTATTATTTCATAGGAAAATTCCTTCGACTAATCGAATAATGAGCTAAGACAGTAAAACTGTGCTGTGTGATCTGCAATTGCCATCAAAGCACCCTCAAGCACCACGTGTGCGCCATGTTGTATGCCCTTGTGGACGGCTGCTCGACACCCGTTCGTCGAGACTGGATGTTTGGAGCTTCAAATATGCGAGTACAACGTTGATTGCCAAAACAACGTATAATTCGATTGACATCTGGCAGAATGTTGAGCATACTTTCCGGGAAATCGTGTTATCCGGGAATGTATGAACCGGAAAAAAAACAGATCAACTCTAAGGGACGTTTCCCGTGCCGTCACTCGTGGACGTATGAACCGGGAAATCGCATGAACCGGGAACACATCAACGAGGTTTTGCCGTAAAATACTATTTCTCATCGATAGTGTGTAGACTTAACGTCACACTTGCCATAAAACTTGCAGTCTAGTTATACCGGACTACAAGAGTTCCAAGGCTATCCGATGGGAGGAACCAGTGTGCCAGTCTGCTCTTGCATCGTAAGCCGTCCCAAGTAGTCTTAGTGCAGTCGCTCGGGGGTCAAACGCAAATGTATAAACTGGCCCTTAGGCAACGGCAGGTATGCCGCAGACAGTACCAACTCCAACAAAGTCTGCATCCACGATCGTTGAAATTCGCAGAAGGGAACCGGCACCCTAGACACGCGCGGAACTTCGGGGCTCTCAAATGGGACCCGCACAGGTCGCAAACTTTGAATCTAAACGGTATCTTTATCGTCATTCCATGGGCTGCTCTCCAAAGGCCCAACGATTGCCCTTTGTCGATTGGCCAACTGTCAACAACAACGCGATAGCTAATTTAGAATTTTAGTGCACCAATCAGACTTTTCCGAGTCAGTTTCGTTTTGATCTCTGTTTTCACGCCGTTTCCATACTCTGCAACATGTTGCTTAATGATTTTGAGTCATTCTGAGGTGCCTGCTTGCGTGCCGAAAAAGAGGGCCGGGGGTTTCGACGGGAGGCCCCACCTGAGCAGCTGCCGCGGCTGCCTGCTGGTGCCTCTCCTGCTCGGTGGCCAGCCTGGCCCCCGCGGAGCCGGCGCACACCACCAGGGGCGGGGGCCCGCCGGAGTCCCCGCTCGCCTTGCGCTTGCCACCGCCCCAGGACACCGGGGTCGCAGCCACCTCCGGGCAGGCGGGGGAGGGCGCACCCACGGTCGACGAGGACGTCGCCGCCGTGGCACTTGCGCGAGAGCCCGCTGCAACCGAGAAACACGCTCAGACCCCCACGTAATGAGCTGCCGGCGGACTGTACACCAGAGCAGAGCTACGTTGAACAAGGTGCCTGGTACGTATCTTCCGACCGGTGTGTATGGCGGTCCTGCTGCCTACGCATCGAAGGTGTTAGTCTTAAAGTGGCAACAAATTACACCGCAGGCGCCGGCATGCCTCGCCGTCGCATGCCGCAATTCTGGCAGTTGGCTGTGTCCGACAAAAAGGACGAGCAAATGCGAGTGTTGCCGTGGCCGCCCGAGTTTCTGCAGGCAGTAGCTGCCGAGCAAAGAAAGGCAGACCAGGGGTCTGCACACATCCCTCCACCGCCGTGCCATCGCCGGCGACGCAGCAGGTAACAACGCGACTCGAGTGCGACATCGTCGGGCAGAAATCAAGAGACCAAACAAAGACGCACAAGACACACCGGTCGGAGAGGTGTTCTAGGCACCGTGCCTGCATCCATGACACGGCTGCCGTGCAGATAACGTCGCATTCCTGCAACGGCAAAGGCCCCACTCACCTCCAGCGACGTGGGGCAGGAAGGGATGGCCGGCCGCGGCCGCAGCCAGGGCGGCCACCCGCTGCTCTTCCGTCAGCGGAACCACCTGCAGGCTGTGGCCTCCGAACCGGGGGGATGCCTGCACACGCACGCGCAATGTCAGGCGGCGTGTCGACGTGCCCGAAAGAAAAAGATGAAATAATAACAAACTACATTTTTCTTATCAATATTTTTAAAAGGATTTAAAAGAGGGCTGTGCGAATTCTGGTTCAAATCGAACGACATGGTGCAATCCCTAAGTTCAACGCTGCAAAGAAGTCAATAGGTCGTGGGTTCCTCTTTCGCTGTCAAGGCTATTCATGATGCAGAACTATTATATTTTAACCACTATTAGCAGAATGTAATTTAAAGTGACAAGGCTGTAAAGCTTCAAGCCCACAGAGCAATACCACACGCAATTTGGGTAAATGGGCAGGGAAGGATAGGTTTGCATATTGCACACTTCAATACGTAATAGCATCAGAAATAACATTAATAATATACATTAATTTCAGATAAAAATGAAACAAAAGATTCTACTAGCCAATAAAAGCAGCCTTCTTCTTTTGAGAGGGGCTTAAAGAAACAACTGAAATGTATTTTTGTGCATAACCAAACGTGAAAACAAAACTCGTCTAGGCCATAAAAAAGAAGACTGGGATTTAGTTGCTTTTTATACGTCAACAAAACAATATCAGAAACGCTTGAAACACTTCATATCAAAGCAAAAACAACATGCAGCAAAGATAAAACATGATGCCTAAAACAAAATTGGGCTATGGTAGATAAAATTAAAACGTTAGGCACCATTTCTTTAGTTCCCGTTTTAGTAGTTCTTATGGTGAATTCCACTGGTTAGTCCGGACCGCTTTCCAAAAGCCGTGAGGGAGGCAAAAATGAGCTCACGAGCGGAAGATGGACTTTTTTTTCTTGGAGCGACCCGGCGGAGACGGCCTACCGCTCAAAATGGCTGTTGCTCGAACTTGACAAAACTGACCATTGCCTCAGCCGACTGAGCTTTCCTACGACCGGTCACTATAATGTCACTAATATCACCTGCACGGTCATTGCCTAGACCGTTCTTGCATTATCGCACGTGAAAACGCTGACGGCGTGCGACGTGAAAAGGTAAACAGTTTGTTGCGGCAAAAGTGACACGCCCAACCTTGCGTCTGTTTTCTTCGGATTTTCTGTTGTTCTTTTTGTCGTTTTTCCTCTCAGAAACACAGATGTCGGCGCTTATGATTTGGCTCACTCCGCTAGGAGTAAGCCAATTTACTACGGCAGGAGTGAGCAAGGTAAGAGCGGTTGAGCCATCGCCATCCCGCGCAAACAACTGATGCATCCAAGCAGATCCAACTCAACGATTTGGCCGGTCCGGCGACATTGCCGCGCATGTGTACTGCCGAGTGAAAGGAAATGACGTGGCGCGCTTCTGTCGACTTCCGCACACGCTCCCCTAAATTTCATGAGCAATTTCGGCATGGCTGGAGGCGCTCCACGGGGTAGGCGCTGCCACATATATGCGAGTGGAAGATCACCGACTTGAGCCGGATCTGCCAGCGGAAGATGCGCACTCCAAACTGCGAGCGTATTTTACCATAACATTCATCGAGGTTATTATAAGTTCATTAAATAAAAAAAGTATTTGTATAATTTTTTTTCTTTTCTCTATACTAAGGAAGTGTAGTCAACTCAAAACATAAAAGTTCTTTAGGACTGTAAAAAAAAGAAAAAAAAAGTAAAAGATTTGACAATTTTTTTTAAATCCTCGCTTGGAAAAAAAAAAAAATAATAATAAAGCAGCCACACTTACACACTGCATTTTGTACACTCCGACACGCGCAGCAACGCGAGTGTGAATCTCGCAAGCTTGCGATTGCACGACATTGCAATCGTACGTTCTGTCATGTCGGCGGTGTCCGCAAAGTTCCCCCTTTGCCCCAAACAAAACGAGCCGACTCACCTCGACGGTTCCCGCATTGGAACCGGGAAGTTGTTGCTGCTGTTGCTGCTGCTGCTGACTCTGCTGCTGCTGCAGCTGCTGTAGCTGCTGGGGCAGGGTGCCCGCCACGGCTGCCGTGGCCACCGCCTGCTGGGCGGCCACCGCGGAGGCGGCCGAGCCGGCGGCGGAGGGCGAGCCCCCGGCGGCCAGGTTGGGGTAGTCGAGCAGCAGCTGCACCACGGCCGTGTGGCCCCCCTTGGAGGCCTCGATGAGCATGGTCGAGTTGTCCTTGAGGCGGTGGCTGGGGTCCGCCCCGTGGGCCAGCAGCAGCTCCACCACCGACAGGTGGCCCCCCGCACACGCCAGCGACAGGGGCACGTGGTCGTTGCTGCTCGTCGGGCGGTTCGGGTCCGCGCCCCGCGTCAGCAGGAACTGCACCGTGCACAGGTGGCCCGCCCTCGCCGCCTTCATCAGTGGCGTCCGGCCGCCCTCGGACTCGTGCTCCTGCGTGAAAGCGGAAAGTTGTCGGTGCTCGGTGCTCCCAAAGCAGGCGAGTTGCGTTGGGGTCCACACGGACAAAGTCTGCGACGGTTGCGGTCGTCTGTACGTGGCACTACCACTGTCACATGAATAGCACCGTACAAAGCGTGGCAACCTCTCTTTACATTTATTAAGGCCTTAGTTTTGTGCGAGCAAACTTGCACTTACTCTCATTCTTTTTTCCACAATGACATCGTAGTGTAACCACATATTTTGGAAGTTGTGGGCATGTAAAACACATACTTTGTTCCACGAGTAATAGAATTGACAAAATGAGACTTTCGTAACCATTGAAACAAGAAATGTGTCAACATAAAGGAATGTAGCGGACATAGCCGCAGGTAACCGCTTCCTACGACTCCTGTGTTATACGATAAATGACATTTGTTTTGTTCAGCAAATACGACTCCACAGCAAACAAAAAAAATGTATGATTATTTGTCAGGTGACAGTGCCTTGCTTGAGGGGCCTGGCATGCTGGCGTAGCCAGCATGCCAGGCCCCTCAAGCAAGCAGGAAGTTCAGAGGTTTCTCGGTGTGCTAAACTACTTTGGGAAATTTTTGACTCAACTTTCAAGAAAAACGGAGGCACTGAGGGACTTGAGAAAGAAAGAAAACGCATTTGTGTGGCTGGTTGTTCATGACAAGGAGTGGAATAATTTGATTGAAATGCTCACATCAGCCCCTGTCCTTGCGATATTTGACCCATCCAAACCAATAAAGATATCAGCCGACGCGTCGAGTTTTGCCATCGGTGCTGCACTATCTCAACTGCATAACCAGGATTGGCGTCCCGTGGCATATGCGTCACGGGTGCTGTCGAAGGCCGAAGCGAATTATGCACAAATTGAAAAAGAGACTCTTGCTGTAACTTTTGCTTGCGAGAGATTTCGGGAGTTTGTGCTGGGCTATCCCGTGCTTGTCGAAACGGACCACAGGCCGCTCCTAGCAATAGCAAAAAAGAGCTTCAGTGAAATGCCTCCGCGACTTCAAAGATATTTTCTCAGGCTGTTGCAATTTGATGTCAAGTTTGAGTATGTTCCTGGAAAGCAGCTGCTCTTAGCAGATGCTCTGTCACGAATCCCAAGTTCCGAACACAGAGAAGGTGGAAGCTGAAAGTGACGACATCGCCGTCCACGCCACCGGTGTGCTCACAAGCCTTGTTAGCCACAACATGAAGGCCCAGTTAGCGTCGGCAACCTGGGACGACCTAGAACTAAGGCAAGTCATAAAAGCCCTAGAAGAAGGAAATTCAGTTGTTGGAGAGCTTGCACCGCTTTCCTCGGAACTTACGTGCATCGACGGCGTGCTACTGCGAGGCAGCAGGGTGGCTATACCAAAAAGTCTCCGTAAAGAGATGTTGCACCGACTGCATAAAGGGCATTTAGGATTAAACAAAAGCCTAGCGCGAGCAAGGCTATTAATGTACTGGCCCCAAATGAACGCGGACATCAAGGCACTTGTCAGCCAATGTTCCACATGTTGTCATTTTGCTTATAGGCAACCATCGGAACGTTTAATGCTTAGACGAGTCCCGGACCAACCCTGGCAGTGAATCGGTGTAGACCTTTTCGAGTATGGCAGCAAGCATTATCTGGTGGCGTACTGTGCCTACTCAAACTACCCAGAAGTCGAGTTTCTGCCGCTAACAACCTGCCGAATTGTAGTGGATAAGCTATCCGCTATGTTTGCGCGGCATGGAATTCCTATAGAAGTTTGCACCGACGGTGGACCCCAGTTTACGTCTCACGAATTTGCATCTTCAGAGCTAAATGTGACTTCATCCACACTATTTCCAGCCCAAGGTTCCCGCAGTCCAACGGGTTGGCGGAAAAGGGAGTCCAGGTCGTCAAGCGACTGCTAAAGAAAACTCAGCACCTGAACGAGGACTTCTGGGTTGGACTACTTAAGGGGGGACGCGGGCTTTGAAAACCGGAAAATCGCGAAAAAGTAGATTTTTAGAAAACCTTACTTTTCGGTTCTATATCTCATAAACTACCTTCTCTGTAATTATCAGCACCAAATACAACGGGGAAATATTTAAAAACAATTATTTACGAGGCCTGAATAGCATCCAAGTGACGGTCAAACGTCAAAATCAACCCCAACTTTGCGCGCTCGCCATTTTCGACGCGTTGGGCCGACGGCCGCCATCTTAGTCTTGTTTTGAACGTGAATTCTTTCTCTTTTTTTTGCCAGCTCCCAAAATGGCGTCGGCTGCCTAGTTACGGCGTGGTCGCCGTTCTTCCATGTCGCAATCGCAAGAACGCGATTGGACAGAGCGCGCGCTCGAGGAGCGTGCGGGGGAGCGCGCGACTGCTATTGGCTGGGACGCGATTTCTCCGCGCGCGGAGCGCTCTCCTTCTCCGTTTCTCCTGCTGTTGCCGCTTGCGTCGTCTGCTTTTGGTAGTGGTCTGCTTGCACGCGCTCTTGCTTTGTCAGCTCCACTTCGTTTTTCGCCATCTTTACGATCGTTTTCCGAACTTTCTTTGAGTAGTTTCGTGTAGCGTGCCCGTCTGTTTCGTGGTCGCACACGATGCGGGGTTTGAAGTACAAGACGGTGCACGCGTTTGGCGCGCGGAAGCGGTCCATGAAGTTAGTGCGGATGGCGAAGTTGGAAGTTTCTGCACGGCGTGCCGTCAATGATGATCGCGTCAACACTTTCAGTGATGGATTTTCTGTGCCATCGGCTGTCGTCGAGGAAGAACGCATCGTCCCGCTCACGCCTGGAGTACCGAGCATGCCGACCGTTGTGGTTCCTCCCGAGATCGCGGGTCCCAGCGCCCGTCTTCCGCCTGCCGCGACAAGTAGGAGCGCGTCTTCTAGCACCCATCTGCGGACGCATTTCCTGACACGTGAGGAGATCGAAGCAGAAGCTAGACATTGTGATATTGCTCAAGCCGAACTTGGAGCTATGCCAGCAAACTGCACTGCATGAAGCGGTGTTGAGGTTCAACGCCGGCTGCTACAAGGCAACTGCAGAAATATCGGTTGCAGCGGGACTTCAGCCGACCCATCTGGCCCTCCAACGAGCTGTCGAGAAAGATGCCCTACGTCTGCATAAGGCCAGCAAACGACATCAAGAGAATTTGGAAAGGCGGAACAAGAAGAAAGGGCGCAAGAACACTTCTGACTATTCTGCAGGGTCATTCTAAAGCTGAAAATCTGCGTGCAACTTTCAAGTGCTGTTTTCTCAGAATGGATTTTTTCACTGTCGTGGCTGCTTGTCCCAGCGATATCTCAGGAACTGATGAATGGATTTTTGTGCTGTCTTTTTTATTCTGTTCTCTAATAACTTTGTGAGGGCATAACAGAGCCCTTTTTTTAGGAAACTGTACTAAAAATTTATAATAAAAAAATGAAATTTGGTGAATGTGGGTTTCATTGACTACACAAAATTCAAAGTTGCGTTAAAATTTTTCAACAAATTAATTTAAAAAAAGGGCTCTGTTATGCCCTGGGGAATGTATCCAGGGGTCATCATAACAAATATTACGCCACTACTACCTTTTTCAAATTCTCCAGACCTGGGATAAGGAATGCATATGGACGATTTTGATAAATATTTGTAACTTGAGAAATAATATGCACAGCTCCATGAAACTTTGCAGTTACTCTTATGTCTGTGCTATAAACACATTCTGTAAATTTCGTTCAGATATCTCTAGAAATAAGAAATTTCATATTTATTCCCCACCTCCTCCCTTAAAGCCTCTGGCTGAAAAAAGAAAAGGGAACATTAATGCCCCAAGCATCCAATTTATCTACAACTTACGAATGTTTTACAAACCCTAGGCGATTTAGCCTGATGTCAGAAAACTAGCCAATGAATATTTTGCTACAGAGTCATATATATTTTTAATAAAGTAAAAAAACGCAACTGCTCAAAACCAAAACAGAAACTAGACGTGGGAGGAAGAAGAAATATAGAGAAAAAACATTGCCAAGTCACGTGGCTGTGCAACTTTCTTTACAGCGGAGTTGTTAAGGGCTAGGTTCCCGAGGATCGTGTCCGGTACAAAACACTTGTCGACAAAAACGCCTCTCGAGAGCTACCACCATCTATAAGCGACGGCGGCAAACATACAACCAGTATGGTTGCCGCCGTCGCTCGTAGATGGCGCCAACCTTTCCAGCTATCATAGAAGAATGGGTAGTTGGGCGGAGCGTTGGTGAGAATTCATCGAAGGAAACAGCGCGAAAAACCGACGACAACCAAGAAGAAGCACACGCAACGAGCGCAGCGCTCGTCACGTGTGTTTCTTCGTCCTCGTCTGTTTTGCGCGCTCTTTCCTACGCTTTTATCAGTCTCGGTTCAGACTTAGGATGGGCCGGCCGTGCACCCTTTCGGGGAAAGAAGATTGGCTGCGGAAGGAGCGGCGACAAACACAGCATCGCGAATGGGTCCGTAACTGTTGCAAAGCCGCTGTCGCCTCAACTTCCACTGCGTCGAGCGCTTCAGATTCCCTTGCCAAAGAAGAGCACATCGCTTGCCTGGAAAGCCGCCGTCGAGAACAGAACCAGCAATGCAAAGGGCGCCGGTGGGCCAACGCCCCGGACGACGATCGTGCACGGAGGCCAAGCGCAAGCGCAAGGCCCGGCGATGACTGCACTCCACGCCGACTGAACAGTTCTCGAGCGCGACGACGATGTTCCAGAGGGAGTTCGTGGATTACCCGGCTGGCGTCACGTGTGCCGTGTGTGATCGACTGTGGGTCGCTGGAGACGTATCCACGATCGGTGGCGTGTCGGACAAGAAGAAGCGGGAAACGGGCGCGTGCGTGTTGCGACAGTGTATCGAATACAGCTCCGCTGGTCTTCCTTCTTCACGATAGTGGAAAGGCTGGACGTTTTTTCTTTTTAATAAACATACTTGCAGCTTTTTAAAAGCCACAAAAAAATGGGTATCATATTCTTTTTCTATTTTTAATATGGAGTGTGTGCCTTAGATAACCCGTGATTTTGATTATATTTGGTATGTGTGAAACCATAGAAAACAGCACATGACCACGGAGAAGAGAGTGAGCACGACTCAAACCGGCCAGTTCTCAATCGGTGGTTTTCGGGCGGAAAGAAAACAAATTTTATGATGCTTTGAAAAACGTTTTTTCTATCTGGACCAATTTTAATGGGTAGAGTCTTAAATTCCTATAAGGACGCTGGTCGTTATATGCGGTATTATTATAAGTGGGTTTGACTGTAATGTCCGCTTGAAAGCTACAAAACACGAGCCACGTCGTGGTCAAAGTGCTCCACAGAACCAAAAAAAGACGAAGGCCCCTCACCAGGTCAGCGTTTGCCTGCAGCAGGAGATCGGCGACGTCCGTGTGACCGTTTTCGCAGGCGTACGTGAGGGCGGTGTCCCCCGTCGCCGTCTTCGCATTCACGTTGGCCCCTGCACCAATAGAGAGCGCGTGAGCTCCGTCCCGACAGGCCACTGGATAGCCTCTGCAAACTGCCACTTCCAAAAATGCGCTCGCTTCGCAGTAAATAAGCTCCGTCACATGTTCGAGGCCATTACAAGTTCGCCGAGTCCACAACTCGGTAAACTTGTAAAGGTTCACCGAAACCAGCCTGTCATGGTGGTTCCTGGCGAATAGAGCAAATTAAAAAAAGAGGACAAGACAGGAGAAAAGCGAGCGTGAGTTGGGGGTGGCGGGTTGAAGATTTTGTGCGGTCGGTGACCTCCAACGACCTCCGTTGGGATGCCCAGGCCCCGTAAGGTTTGACATTGCCACCTCTCCCGTAGTCAAGGTGCCGACCCGCCCGAGGTCGACTTGACCGCACGGAAGGCGACCGGCGACAACAACCGCAGCTTTACCAAGTGCCAACGAATTCGTCATGCTCCAGCTACCCAACTGCCTGACAACTATCAATCTGCGAGGGTCGTCATCACTCGCAAATTGGCTAGTCCAACCACAAGATCAACGGTCATCTAAGATGACTCTTAACCGTAAACCCATAAGCTCCAGCAAGCTTTAATGCACTCTGGAATTGGATCACCCTCGAGCTGCAATTATTTTGAATGCCTAATATGTGCCATAGAGCCCGTGTATATACTACCCTACTCTCTTTCATTGCTCAGTGGAACCCTCCCTGGTGTACTCAGGTGTCTCGTGCAATTACATCTAAAATCTCGAACAACATCGCACAACCCGCAAGAAACTTCCGCTTCTAAACCTCGCCGACTGCAAGCGGTGACCTCACCCTGGGAGATGAGGTAGCGCAGCAGTTCCAGGTGGCCCTCCTGTGCGGCCTCCATGAGTGGGGTGCTGGCCCCCAGCTCCAGGTGCGCCCCGGCCTTGAGCAGGAAGTCGGACACCTCCAGGAAGCCCCCGCAGCAGGCCAGCGTCAGGGCAGTCTCCTGGGTCTCCTCCGTCTGGGCGTTGATGTCCGCACCTGGGGAGGACAGCGGGTACGCTAAGACATAGGTCCTCAAACTGCGTTTCTTGGAGAGTTTCTCCGAGTACTCTCACGGGTTCCCCAAGCCTCTAAGTTCCTTCGACCATCCTTGCTTCTAAGTGAATTGGTTTTCTAGTTTAAGCACTATTTTAAAAGACCTTAGCCACCTACTAATGCACAACTATGAAGCCTACAAGGTATGTAGGCTTCTCCACAATTTCAGAAATAGAACTTCTGGAAAGTGTAGACGTAGTAATAATCCAGATGGGGTGTTCAAGCTCATATTGTCCGGGGGTATACACGTGACACACACTCGCCTCACCTGCGCAAGAGACTAAAAGTCGAGTCACCGAAATTAAGTGTCAACAAACGCAAGCACACGGTTACACCCGTCTGAAATCTCCACTTAGAAAACCCAACGTCGCAGATGCTAGGATGTGCACCGTCGTACCTTCCAACCTAGCAACATAAAAATTCAAGAGACCACCGGGCAAAGGGGGGGGGGGGGGGGGGGGGGGGGGGGGGTAAATTTTTTTTTGTTTTAGTTTCACAGGAAATTTTTTGAAGAGGCATTCTGTGCGGATTACACATTCTTCGCGGTTGTTTTGGACGAAACTGCCAATGGTGCCCTGCCTTTCTGCAGCACATATATAGTAGGGAGTTGTGGAATAACGTACGCAATTTTAGCGCATGCTAGCACTAAATTTAGCGCTTACCTTAGTGCACGCAACGCGAAGGGGTTATAGAAAAGCGTTTCTCCACCGCAACACAAAAGCCCATGCATCTGGGGCTTGCGACACCACCAAAATACGGTCAGAATTTTTATTTCACACACGAAATGCTCTAGCTTGAGAAGTAATAAGTGTTTGGTCCAGAGTAACATTTTAGATTTGTTTAAACATAAGAATGCGACGCGAGCAGTTGACCTGTCGTGTCCGCTTGCAAAGCCTCGGCAAGAGGCGTCTAGCCGTACTGACCTTCGCACATCATACCTTCGCCAAGAAATGTTTGCACGTCACAAGCGTCAAGTTGCCGGTGATCGTTGCCGAACCGACTGCAATGTCGTTCCGTATTGAAAATCGCAGACGCAAGGATGCCGCTGACGTCGCACTCACGACGCCGCCAAAGAGGCCGCAGACATGGTCCTAGGAGCTGCCTTTTTTTGAACTGTGCTCGTTTTGGCTTTGGCCAACTTCTCATCAAGAACCCTCCTTGCAAAACAGTAAAGGCTCTTTGCGTACGCACGCAATTTCCGAACAAACAGAGTACGCTAAAATGGCGCACGCAAAGTGCAAAACGTGGATAGCGTTCGGCACATCCGCAGTGGCGACGAGCTATTTTTTTATTCTTTGCATACGCAAAGCTTTAGGATGCGCCATTCTTACCCTAGTTCTGATGCTTTTGCGACGCGATATGTATCTCGATGTCGGCCTTGCCGCCGTGCGAAATGCTCACATCACAGACGCACGTGGTACAGAATTCATACTTGTCACCTTTCCTTGAAGTGACAAAGCACGGAAACTGTCGGGTATGATCTCAGAAATACTTGCATACTTCTTATTGGCTTCTGAAAGCGCCTTTGATCGTTCAACTAAACTCGGGGAAACACAACAAGTAGTTCGGCGTCCTGCACTTCACTCGACGACCTGACACAGTCAGATAAAGCATAACGCACCCACGACCATATTGGCCGTGTTCCAAAATGAGCTCAAACTTACTCCAGAGTAGAGGTTTTGTACCTTGGCGTTTGAAAATCTACCCTCATTTTACGCTGCTGCTGCAACTGAGTTGTCATGTGGTAACCCGCCAGAATAGGGGGTATTCACTGGACGGCCATATTTGAGGTAACTGCTCACAGCGCATGCCCGGAAAGAGTTTCCGGTCAGCTCTCGGGCAACCGCAAGAGAAGAGGGGAAGAAGAAATCCTCTTATCACCGGGACTCTCCTTTGTGGGTCCCAGGCTTCCCCAAACGTCGCTATTCTCCCTCTAGAAGATTATAGAAGATTAACTTGCCTCTCAAAATTCGTACAAAAGCATCTTTCCCCTCTCTCTCTTCCCCCGTGGTCAGGAAGCAGCAGCGAGCTCAGCTATGACGGCCAGTGAATACTCCCTATAACCTAAATCTACACTCGGGTAACTTGCAGTAAAATGTGCATAAATATAATTTAAAAAAATATATTATTACAGCGTTTATTTTTGGGAGATTTTGAGGTTGTGTTTGAACAATCGGGAGATGTGATCAAAATTTAGGAGGCTCCCGGACAATTTGGGAGAGTTGGCAGGTATGCATTAGTGATGGACCGAATCTGCCGAACTTCAGATTCGGCAAAGTTTGGCATATGCCGAACTTTTGAAGGAAAGTTCGGCAAAGATTTGGCGAAAATTCGGCAAATGTCTGCGCACGCCCGAGAACGCGACGGGGCCATGAATAGCAAATGGACGCCGTGCGGTTGTGTAGTTACCATCGTACAGTGCAGAATAACCAGCGGCTACGGCAAGGCGTGGGAGTAGGCAACACGGTAATTGCGTTTGTGAGCCTTCGCAAGTGTGGTGCTCTTCCAATATTTTTTGCCTCAAGAACAGAACAGTGACCAGTAATTTTAGCAGTCCACTGCGCAAGTGACAGGTCATGCAGTACTTTCTGGATGACGCAATTTTTCTTTGACCTTTTTCTAATGCAACGAGGTAGTTAAAGCATTGACCCACAATTACTTTAAAGCACTCCTTGCAATTATAACACTCCTGTTTTCGGCTTACAAGAAGTATGTGCCAAAACAGAATAATACTGCTTTTTAATTAACGTTATTTCGCGGTTATCATGTATCTACATAAAACTAAACACACAACCACTGTGCTCGACGTTGCATATCCGACATTCCTAACTCTTCGCACCTTCCTAAACGTTCATCTGTGTCCTACCACCAGAAACCGGCATTTTAAAGGTTAAAAACTAGACGTTGCGAATATGAGATGCACACTTTCATGCAAAGCTTACGTCAAGTGACTCAAATCGCAAAACCTGCGTATTAACAATATTGTTATTTTCTCTGGTGAAGGCACAGTAACCGGTGCATCAATTTCGCGCATGAAACGGTGACTCCCAGAGAAAGTAAAAACGCAGTGTTATTGCCTTTGTATTTACACCCCACACACTTGCAGGCTTGCACCGATGAGGCCTCCAAACCGAAACTCTCGCAGCGCGATTCGTTACTGTGCTCGCTGCTACCCAATGTTGCTACTACCCAACCTCGTTGTCACACCACTTCTGCAAGAGATCACTAAAATTGCCAGTAAACACAGAAAAACAACACCGATACCATTATCTTGTAGAATATCATCTTATTTAGTAATAACTGTGCCAATATGCATTACATGTTGCATTTAAGTTAAGAAAAATACAGATTAAAACCTTTTTTGCCAGAAAAAACTAATTATCAAAGCAAATCTGGTAACAATGTATTTTTGCCGAATCTTTGCCGAATTTTCAGAAAAGTTCGGCAAAAGTTCGGCTTTGCTGAATCACAAGATTCGGCGCCGAACTTTCGATTCGGCAAAAGTTAGGCCCATCACTAGTATGCACCATGTTCCCGGGGGATTTATCGAAAGGTCCGTCGGGCGACGGCTCGCGCCGTCTTCCGTCGTCGGAAACAGGCTAACGGGAAGAGGATATCCAGCTCTCCAAAGGGCGCTTGCCAGCACCGGCACCCTTCGGCAAGCCCTAGTGGGAGAAAGGTAGGGGGTGTCCTCACCTTGGGAGAGCAGCAGGGCCACCATCTCCTCGTGGCCCTCCCGGGCCGCCTCCATCAGCGGGGTGTAGCCTTCGTCGTTCACCTCCTCAATGTTGGCCCCCCCGCTCCAGCAGCAGCATGGCTAGCTCCACGTGGCCCCCGCACGCCGCCAGCGTCAGGGGCGACTCAAAGCTGTCCGTCGGCATGTTCACCTGCATGCAGGGGGGGCTCCGCTGAGTGGGGACGTCCTCCTTGCCGAGTGCGGCGCCCAGAATGCCCCTTCAACCGGCATGTTCGGCGTCCTACGCTGCCTGGGCGTCAAAAATGGTCCTGAAGTAGCGACAGACAACGTCAAAAGAGCTGCCGTATCGTGTCATCGGATGTCGCCATCCCGACGTTTGGTCATAAAAGATGAGCAAATGCGAGCGTTGCTGCCGTTACCGGAGTTTACGTGGAATAGAAGTCATATGGGCTCGATGACACTGGCAAAGACCGCGGAGCACAGAGTGCTTCGTGTTTTGTTCGTGCTAGGCTTTTCTACCTAGTTATTATTATTTACTTATTTTTAGACATCTCACCCAAAGGCGAATATAGACATTGTGCAATGAAAATGGGCGTCAATTTTGGGGTGCTTCCATGCGACGCATTTCCAGCTCAAAATTTCCAACGCCATCTGAATATGCCCGTAGATAGCGGTGTTCCGCAATTGCACTGGCAGCATTTCTCTGCGTGTCTTCAGCTATGCGTACTCAATGAACCACTCAAAAGTCTCTAACTGCAACGATCTCCGAAATAACAATGTTCAATGAAATATATCACCTAAAACTTGCGGCCGTGTCATATAAGCAGCCTACACAGTTTTCTTTATTTCATTTATTATTATTTTATTTTATCTATTATATTTTGTGATTTTTATTTTCTTTTACTGTTTTATTTTAGAATATATTTATTTGAATATTCAATTTTATTTTGTTTTATTTGTATTGTTTATAGTATATTTAATTGTTGCATTCGTGTATTTTAATTATTTTATTCATTTTTCTTTGGACTGACTTTTTTTTTCATTTGTTTCGTTCGGTTTCTTATGTATCGTTTACTTAGTATAAGTTTACCTCATGTTTAAATATTTGTTTCGCTCAATTGATTCCGTGACTAACAAATAAATGTGTTCCATTTCATACTTCTGTTTCATACTATACATAAATCTGTTATATTCAATACATGCATTTTATTTCACTAGACTTGGCACGCAGACACTGTCACGCCTAAAACTTCCAACCGTGTCTTTTTTTAATTTTTTGATTTGCATCTTAAACTTGTTGCCTTTGTTGGCACGCTTGCATTCAAATAAAAAAAATTTATCCTTCCAGACCAGCTGTGCTCGCATAACTCGGAGACTCCAGCATTCCTCAGAGGCAGAGGTGTGCCCACCTGTGCCCCCGAGTCCAGCAGGAGGCGCGCCACCTCCACGTGCCCGTCCATGGATGCCTCCATGAGGGCGGTGTGCATCTCGTCCGTCTTGTGCTCCTGGTCCGCACCGGCCTGGAGCAGGAACCGGACCATCTCCAGGTGACCTGCGAGACAAGAGCAGGTGCTGAGCACTTCTCGGGTGCCCGCGTCGTGTATGGCGCACGCCACGAGCGCCGACACCGCGGTGCCTTGGACGGCGCCTCCGACCTGCATTTGCTGCGTCCAAACAAGTGGTCCCTCCATTTCCGCTTGAGTCGGCCGGCCGAGAACCAACTGTCCAAACACACGCTCAAATTTTCTGAAGATTAGGCCAAAGATTTGAGTGGACGCTGCTTTCATTTTTGATAAGTTCCTTTGTACTGCATCGACTGAAACGTAGGCTTAAACCTATCCAACAACTACCTCGTGCTTTCGATGAAGTGCTGCTCGGCGAGCGCCTTCTCCCGAGCAAAGACGTACATGCCTGGATTGACCCTTCGAGTGAAACGCCCGAGTATACTCATTCTCGTGTGGTTTCAGCCTCAGTTTCCTTCCTCCACCTGCCGACTGGGCCGTCAGCGTCTTTACGTGCAGCGGCACGTACGAGGAAGCAATGAAAACAATGTATTTTTATATCTTGTCTCGCCTTTTATTGGCACACAATTTTTTTTTTTTTTTTGTCTAGGCGATTTTTGTTTTGGCATGCTCCTTCGTAGTTGGGAAACCGCGAATCTTTGTCGTTCAGCTTAGTGCTTCCTGACGACCACAGAGATCTAAAAATTACTAACAAACTCCCTATTTGATGACTGAAAACAACGGAGTTCCTGATCCGAGTAAACGAAGGCCAAGTAAGGTCACCCAAAAGAGTGGGGCGGTAAACGTGCACTGCGCCCGTAGTGTGTCCCAAAAAGTAAAATACGAGAAATATGTCCCAGGTAGGTGGCACGCGTACATCAATTTACTTTTTGCCCATAAAATAGCGAGTCTTCGATAAATAAATATTTTTCTCGTAGCACACTATGTTACCGAGACCAAAATCTATTTGACACGTGGGGAAAAAACGCCCGGCACTCTAAAGTTAAAACGTGGTACAAATTCACTTTCAGTTCTCGCCCACGTCGTGATACAACTCGCCGAGTCCAACAACGAGCCTAATAATTATCGAGGTATGCCTAGTTGTACCCTACATCGCAGCGTTTGCTCCAATATACACCGGCCACCATACTGGTGAGCTGGCCGAGAATGACAAGGTGAATTCGAATATAACCCGGCCCTAGTTTTTGAAGAACTGGAAGGGAATTCCTACAAACAGTAATTTCACTTCTTCACTAGTCACTCCAGCTAGTGATGGAAAACTATCAACAAATTGACTATGGAATGTATATATGACTTTACGAGTTGTCCGTCGATAGGTTTATGCTAATTGAATATCTATAGTTAGTACTACTGATAGTTTCACGATATAGTCGAGCCCGGTTATATCACACTCGGGTATTTCGAATTATTGTTTATATCGAACAGTTCAAACATCCCCTTGAAGGTCACATGTAATAGTATAGAAGAGTTGTCTTTTTGTAACCAATTCCCATGGAACACTCAATATAGCAAGCAAAGCCTGGCTGCCCGTTGCTTTTCCCACGATACGACTGCACGGGTGGCGAGCGCATCCCTTGCGTTGCGTGGCTGGCAGACCGCCAAGCCAGCATACATGTGGGAAGGTACCACAGTGCAGCAAAAGAACAGTTGTAAAAAAGGAGACGCAATGAAACGTAAAAAAAAAAAAAAAGGATGGCAAAAGCAAGGGGAAGAGCTTGCACACGCAAAGCGAGAGCAGAAAGTGCTTGCTGTTGGAACACTGCAGATGCTGCGCGACTCCCTAGCCCCAAAATAAAATACGCAAAAAAGAGTCTTCGGCAAGTCGAGTGTGTCGACAACAAGACAACGGTGGTTGTGCAATCCCACTTTAAACCCCTTATCTTTGTTTACCTTTTTCTTTTGCCGTTATTACTTTGCCCCCCCCCCCCCCCCCCCCTTTTTTTGCCTTTTTTTCTAATCTAGTGAGCTTTCTTTCTTGTTGCATGGTTAACTTTGTTCTTAGATCGAGTTATTTTTTTATGAATTTGCTTTTAATTTTTTTTTTTTCTTTTTAATTATTTTTGTGTTTTGTTGCTTATGCTGTGTTTAGGTCGCAGCCAGGTGCGCTTGTAAGCGCAGCGGTGTTTGCAGTCTCTGCCAACTACACCTACTATATGTTTCGCGGCTCTTGGATGCTCTATTTGGTAAGCTCCCACTTGTCGCAACCTTCGGTATTAGCCGAGATGCCAGGAAATATCAACTCTAGCTTAATTTAACAAATTTTAGTATATCAAACTACTGATATATCAAACTATTTTCCGATCCCCTTTGAATTCGACATATCCGGGTTCGACAAATCGACTACCGACGTGCTACTGAAAAGTTCTTAGACAGCCGACTATTGATGATACCGTCGACAGTTCTTTGCCATTGACAATTAGATTCGGCTTCGACCATGGACGGCATCGACACATTTGCACCAGCGTCAACGATGCTCGTCCGGCGCCCCCTTACCTTTGTAGCAGGCGAGGGTGAGCGCCGACTCCTTGAACTCGTTGGAGTGGGTGTTGATGGAGGCGCCCTGTTCCACCAGCACCCGGGCGGTGCTCACGTGTCCCGCCGAGGCCGCCTCCATCAGCGGGGTGTGGCCGTTCTCGTTGTGGTCCTCCAGGTTGGCCCCCGCGTGCACCAGGGCCCGAGCCACCCCCTCGTGGCCCCCGAGGCAGGCAAACATCAGGGGGGTGTGGCCTGTGCAAGACGGGGTTCCTGGGATGAGCCTCGGGGGAACTTGGGATGGAGGGGCATGGAGGCAGACGTCTGCGGTCCCGGGGCGGGACCCAGACTGCCGACGCGGCTCTTTCACCGAACACGAGGTTGGCGACTTGTCTTTTTAGCTTTACTTTGCAAGAAAGCACCAGAATCTGGCCTTTCATGATAGGCAATTCCGTTGCACACGTGAAACGTTCCAGCATCCCAAGCGTTTAGCGATACATTCACGGCACTCTTCATCAGACAGTTGAATGCGTACTTGTGTACACTTGATAGTTGTTCCTAGAATGAAGCGATAATACTGCTAATAGGGCTGAGGAACCTGGCAATCTTCCAGAACTTTCCATACCTTCGAGTTCCTCCTCAACTACCTCACCCCTCCCCACCCAACCCACTGGTCACACAACCTCCCAATTAACGAATCGGCATCTAGCTCCTCGCTCCTTTTCTGCCACCGATCAACCAATCGGTGTCGAGCTTCGCGGCCATGCTTTTATCCAGGCTTCACCTTTATCTGGGCTCCACGAAATGCCGAACGCTTGGCCAAAGGATGTTTCACGTTATACACTGAAGTTGACACGCAACACGTGAAGTTATACACTGAAGTTGACACGCAAGCAAACTGAACGAGCAGGAAGTATCGCCTGCTTTCTTTTCCCACTCGGCCGTAACTCTCTTTCTCATTCTTTCTCTCGGTGCCGCGAAAGTCGGCGCTTACGCTTGGCCATGTTTCACCCCAGTCTTTACACCGTACCTGCGAAGAAAAAAAGACATCACACCGTGGCAAGCCTTCCACGGGCCGCCTCGACCGTTCCTTCGCATGCTGTGTTGCCGCTCGCAAGGCCCCAAAAGCGACCCATCGATTTAACGATTTGAGAGGTTGGAACACCGGAATCGGCACCTGATTGAGAAATCTTTTACGGTCGTCCCCGCTCCGATAGAAAGGGGTTTAAAGCGTTCTGAAAATACGAGACCGAGCCGGGACAAAGAGTAAAACTTTCCTCGACCTTGCATAAAGCCGACTAACGCACAATGCGTTGTGCATTTGCATCAACATGTTTCTGTGTGTTTCAATCTGTCGAGTCTGTTCTGCCCGTTAAGCTTTTTGGTGTAACCTGTTAGGAAATAAGACACAAACACACGACACATTCTGCGTCAATCGGCATTATGCTAAGTATCCAGCTAAGCTATAACTAGAGATAAATAAAAAAAAAACTCAGAAAAACATTTGAAGGTCAAATTTTTGCCCATACGGATTTATTCGATAAACTTCGAATTTAAGAATTTTAACGTAAAAAAGATTTATACAGGCTTGATCACAGTGACAAAGAGCAGGGAGCACAAAATGTGTCCCACACAAACCACAGCCCATGTGTCGTTTATGCTAGACCTTTCACTATTTTAATTACAGTAAACGACTTAATTTTCCTGCAAACCTAATTTCCGCGAATTGCCTACAATTCCCGAAAAATTGGTGCCGCGAACAATTCTGGTTAAAATGCAAACCCCCTCCCCCCCCCCCCCCCCCCCCCCCCAGTGCAATCTATACACCTTTCCAAAAATCGCTCCTAGGCCGCCGCCATGTTGCTGATGCGGCTGGTGCGACTCTCGCGCCCTCTATCAGCTAGAAATTTTCTGCCACTCTCTGGGACTGTGAAGACTCACTCTGCGCAGTTCTCTACCTACGTTTTTGCGGTTTTGCACTAGACGTTTTCTCGCCCCTCTTGAAAGTTTCTACTTAATTTTTTTTTTTATGCGTGCTGCGTACCCTTTCTGTGTTATCTTCCATTGTTAGAAATAAGGCTGGTAAGTGCCTGCCATTCAAGTTTTTCTGCTTCACATTCACGGGAAACGAAGGAGTTGAAGGACGTCAAACGACCCTTGACGCGATTTTGTGAACATTGTTCTCCCCCTTCTTACAGATAATCCGCATAGAATCCTCAGTTCTCTCCAAAAATAGTTGTCCGGGTTGGGGTGGGAAACGGGTCAGTCACGTTTGTTCTTTTGCCTGGGTGCGGTTGTGAAAAAAGGAAGCTCTCCCCAAACCGTGCCCCAAAACGAAGTCATCTCGGATACCGTCCGATCGTCAAGATGTGACTGTCGTCGGCTGTGACTGTGTTATTTGAGATCTTCCTCAAATAAATTCTTTTCGGATAACGCTGCATCGTGTGGCACGTACAATATATTGTACGTGCCACACGGACAGACCAAGCGCAGGCAGAAAACGCATGAAAACTGGTCTTCGAACCTTTTCTGGTTCTTTGGGCACTGCCCCAGTCACAGCGTTTTGACGAGAAGGCAGGTTTTAGTCTGGTTTCTTCCAAAACGACAGGGGAGTGCCCGACCCGCACGATGACTTCCGCCCACAGCCCCAGACCGCAAGTGCGCCCGACGGACCACCACTGCAACGCGACATGAGAGTCGAGTCGGTGGGTAGAACATACCAAAATGCACGGCCGCCGTTTTTGCATTATTTTTAGTATTATTTTTTAAATTTTCACCACCACCTAGTTGAGCTCCAAAAAAAAAAAAATAGACATAAAACTTCTTGCAGAACAATGTTCGCATATCTAGTTTCAGGTATGTACAATTTGAATTAGAGTTTCGCACAGCTTGCCAAATGTGGCGGCCTTTACTGCCGCAGTCTGTATGTGAAGTTTGAGCACCCGGCACGGCTCGAACCTGGGTCAATGTCAGTCAGATGCTATAGCCACTGAGCTAGTAGTGCAGCCAACTTTACTCGATTAAAGTCAGTTGGGAAGCTTCCTAGAATGCAAAAGTGCCGGTGACAGCAGCAGGTTTTGGATGAAAATAATAAATAAATTAAACCCTAAATAATAATTAAAAAGAAAAAAATTTAATTAACATACATAAATCACAAGGAATAATTAAGACTTAAATAGTATGTTTTAGTACATTAATAGTATGTTTTCTTTCAATAAACCTTCAGCTATGAGTATGTCACGTCTTTATCTACTTCTCCGTCCCTGTTTCTTCGGCGCTCCCGTCCCATTACAAGAAATAAAGAAATCACAAATGAAGTCAAAAATAAACAAATAAAACATTAAAATAAATATAATAAAAAAAAATTTTAATCGGGAAAAATAAATAAAAGCTAGACAATAAGAAGACTAATCTAGACAACAAATAGACTAAACTCTTGCACAATTGACACACGGAGTGTGGTTTCATAAAGGCACATTCTGTGCTTCCTGGTTTTTTGTCAGCATGATCAAGCCTGTAGTATCACTTATCATTACGACCTTTCACAACGTTATAAACTTAGAAGCCAGCTCTAAAATGCATTCTGCATTAAAGACAGATAGAACAAAACAGACCATATCACTTCTGTTTGGTCCCAGTGCCTCAATGGATGACTGAAACGGTTCCAGCCAGCATTACTAACATAAAATATAAGTATGTGCAAAGAAAAATACGAGCCCAACACGTTTTAGCAGGGGGGCGTCCACAAAACACCAGGGCACAGTCACGAGGGCAGCCCGTCATGCGCATTGTTTGCGCATCGGGAAAACGCGATCCCACGTACGCGTTGCAAAGCCTCACAGTTGCGTGCCTTCAAATAAACTCCGCGGCAATTACGAATCCAGCACGCTCGAAAGTGGGGGTTGAAAAGAGGGTCACGGAGGGGGGCTGCGGAGACGTTACCCTGTGCGGTCTGGGCGTTGACGTCTGCCCCGTGCTCAATGAGCAGCTTGACAATGTCCACGTGGCCTGCTGTGGCCGCCTCCATCAGGGGGGTCATGTCCTTGAGGCCCCGGTCTTCCACGTTGGCACGCATGGCAAGCAGCAGCTGCGAAGTCAATTTCTATGTTGCTATATCGCTGCTAGGATTACATCGTCTTTTGCAATTGTAGAAAAGCAGTGGCGAGATTTGTACTATCGGTAAATTCGTGCGCTAATGTCATGATCGTCCAAGACAGCGTACTGTATATTTTTCTTTTTTTCATTCACTCTGCCCTGCAAGCCTATCCTGACAAAATAAAAATTAATAAAGCTGGAGCCCAATGAAAACTTTGTCCATTTTCTACTATACCAGTGAGTGACAGTGCGTCCCCCTCTTTTTAGAGGCACCGCAGAAACAGCTGACAACCCGCTGCACTTGTTGCAGTCGTTGCAGGAGTGTGTAAGCACAATGCAGAGCGGTTGCTCCAGTCACAACAAACGCAGACGTGGCTAAAGTGCTCGTTGCAAGTGCCCAAATTACAGTTTGTGCAGTCTGGAGCTTAAAAAGAAACGGCTACAGTTTCACCACCTGCCACTCGAGGAACCACGTCGAAGCGTTTGGTGCAGACTCATCAGTGTGAGGGACCCCAGGGCTAAGGTTATTCGTGTCTGCTCGGAAACATTCCAACAAGGAACCGGAGTCTTCGTCGGAAGACTAATCGCACTTTCCAACAAGCGTACCGGTGTACGGGACCAGTCCCATCTGTCTCTGTAGTGCAACGTATCTAGTTGAATTTCGCTCAGATGCGATGTGTCCATGGCTATCGCGGTGAGGAGAGGTGCCAATTCAGAAAATATGTCGGCGGCATCAGCGCATCAGCGCAGTAAAACCCTGTGGTAAAACCTAACAGCACACCACCAGCTCGCTGCTAATGCTCCCATTCTCCTACAGTTCTGTTGAAAGAACTCCCGTTACGGTGCCAGAGTATATCACAACCGTCTGCATTACGCCGCGGCTTGTTTTGCGGCGAGTTGGAGAGGAAGAAAAACTCAATATTTAATTGATTTTCGTGCAAGTTAATAAATTGAAACGAAAACGAATGCCTATTTGGCGTTCAGCGAACAGTGAGCATTTCATTAATTTTTCGTGAAAGTTAATAAATCGAAACGAAAACGAATGCCTATTTGGCATTCAGCGCACACTGAACATTTAATGTAAACTCTATTTGGCAAAAGTAAAAGAAGTCATTTCATGGTCCCTTCAAACGTATGTACACCACGACCGGAAACCCCGAGCGTGCGTCCCCGCTTCCGAGAGGCCCCTCACCTGTGCCAGCTCGCAGTAGCCCGAGGCGCAGGCGAGGGACAGCAGGCTCTCGCCCTCCTCCGTCACCTCGTTGACGTTGCGTCCCTCGTCCAGCAGCTCCCGCACCGCCCGCACGTCCCCCTCGCTGCACGCCTCCGCCAGCGTCCTGGAGAAGCGGTTCATTCGTCTCCAGGCTTAAAAGCAGCACCAAAGGGAAACGGGGACAAACAAGCTAAACAATGCAAGGCACAATTGCAACCAACTTTCTTAAAAAAAGAAAAAAAGAAAAAAGATCCGCATAATAAGAGCCGTCTAGCGGCTGCTCGTCTGCCCCAAGATTTTGGCAAGGTACAAAGACAGAATTTCCGGGGAAGTATGTGAGGCATTTGAGGTTACGAACGAAGCCAAAGACTATGCAGGCGAAGAGTCTGTAGCCCTATCAAAAAATAAGTAGGAGTATATCACGGGGTTTTTTATTATACCTTTTTTTTTCTTTTTCGAGTAAATTGAGTTGCGAGTGCAATTTGTATCATTTAGCTTGTTTATCCCAGACCTTTTACAGTGCATTCTTCAAGCCTGGAGACAAGACGACACTGCCACAACGGAGAACCCCTAAGATGTTTCCTTGGATGGAGATAAAGTTCTAACGCCACACGTGCAACCAGCGCACATCATAGCCCCAACACTGCCCTTTGGAAACGCCTTTAACACACAACCAGTACAGTGGCAGAACTTAGAAATCACACATGCACTTGTTTACTGACAAGCACAGGATCATGCAGTCACAACTGGTCTTCGCTCGAGTGGTACAAACTAGAGATGCAGCAAACTTTTTTGCGAACTTGAGGTTCGAAGATCAATCAAAGGGTTCGAAGATCGAACCAAGGGGTTTGAAAAATGTGCAATGTTTCAAAATGTGAAACTTATTACAGAAGAAATTCAATGACATCCGAACTTCCGAATTTTTGTCGCTGAGAAATTTCATTGTTTTCAAATTCGAAGTTTTCAAACTTATCACGCTAAGAAATTTAACAATTTTCAAACTTTTGAATCTTAAAAAAACACTAACACCCCCAATCTTTTTTTTTTTTTTTTAGTTTTTTGCCAAGCAATTTAATATGATGTCAGAAGGCTGCCCAATGAACATTTTTCTACAGCATCACACATATTTTTAATAAAGTCAAAAAACTCAACTGCTCAAAACGGAAACTGGACAGGGGAGGAAGAAGAAATATAGAGTAGAAAGTTAGCAAAAGTAACGTAAATATGCAACTCTTTTTTTCAGTCAACGTATTAGCAGTTTTTTAGAAGCCACAAAAAATGGGTATCATATTTTGTCTATTTTTAGTATTGAGTGTGGGCCTTCAATGACCCAAGAGTTTGATCATCTTTGGTGGTTGTGCCTAAACCATAGAAAACGACACGTGACCACAGAGAAAAGAGTGAGTGTGACTGCAATCGGCTGTTTTCGGGCGGAAAGAAAAATTTCGAGTCACAAATTGTGTTCTGCGTAGTTGGACTCTCATATGTCACGCACAATTAAAAACCTTGGCGAGCATAAATACCCTGCCAGTGTCCCTTTAAGTTCCAAAGTTCGACTTCGAACTCTTGAACAAAAGTTAGACGAAGTTCGAAACAGGTTCACCCCCCTGCGTTCAAGTGGTTCGAGGCAACAAATATAAAAAATGCAAGATGCCAATGTATAAAGTGGAGCTTAAGTTACACTAGAGTCTTACTTAGTTGATCGTGCCACAAAACAACTCACTTGTAAACTGCCAAATGATCACTTTGGTGTGGCCTCGACCTCGCACCTTTTTTTTAGGCTTCTGAGAGCCTCTCCCGCGGACAACTCCTCAAGGAAAACTCCCCGATCTGCAGGCTAGAAATTCAACCGAGGCACTCTGCTGGGAGCATACTTCATATCATTAGTTGTTTTTAAACAGAAGTCCCCAGATTTCCTCAAGTCTAGGAAAGGCATACGGAGCACGATGCTGATACACTATGGCGACCACTCGAACACTGAATCGGCGATTACTTCATTATCATTAGCAGCCGGCTGCATTTTAGAGCGGCCGATATCTCCATTCACCGAAGAAGTTCCAGGCAGTGGAAATATGCTCTTGACCTCTCCATCCCACGGGTTATTTTGCCAAAAATGAATGCCAAGAGCAACTAGACATTTTCGGGAAGCCTGCCCTTATAAGCATGCAATGTCCCATATATTTAGTTGTCTTATGCCGCACTGTATCTAGGCGGCACTTGATCCGATGGCTACTAGTTCGCAAATTAGTAGGAAGTGTGTTCACCTGCCCGCCTTAGGGTTTTTGATGAAGCGTTTAACCAGTTCAACGCTTGTTTTACAAGTTACAACAAGTAGCGAGTAATACTGGTAGCACCGTCAGTACCACAGCACAGAAAGAAGGAACACATTCACAACATAACAGAAATAGGTAATGTTTTCAATAAAATTTCTACCACATTTCGCAATTTTATTAGAATTCATGAAAACTTAGTTTGAAACTGCAAAATTAGATCTCCGTCCATGAAATTAAAACGCTTCAAACTTAAAATCTAAACTTTTGACCTTTGCGCATTTGCACCTTGAACAAATATGTTAAATTTTCTAATTCTGCAAACTTGAACCTTAAACAAATTTGAAATGTTCAAACTTGAATCTTAAATAAATTTAAAATGCTCCAAGTTTTCTAACTATCTGTCAAAAAATTAAAGTCTTCGAACTCAAACTTTCAGCAACCTTGACATTTTCGTATTATTTGAATTCAAACCTCAGCAAATTTCAAATTTAAACCTTAACAAAGTTAAAAAGTTTTCAAACCTTTCGAACTCAAACTTTGGAAAGTTTGTGGCATCCTTTGTGCATACCACCCCGTCTACTCAAAAACAGATTGGCTCCAACGGCACTGCAGCCTTACACTGCTGCGAGAACATGCGACTTTGTCTAGCGTCTGAATTGCAGATGCTCCCGTGCAAAGAATACGCCAGACGAAGCTATGCGCTTGAGCGAGTAAGTTCGGGGGCATCAGAGTATTGGGAAGACAATGCTAAATTTTGTTCCCCCCTAAGCTGACAGTGCGGTGGAAGTTCGTCCAAGCGGAGAGAACGGGTTCGGGGGACTTAAGGAAGGCGGTCGATTAATCTGGCAAGCGCGTATCTCCCAACGTCAGCCTAGGGGTGAACAAAACATAGCCTGGACAATGTGGAAGGAAAGAGCCCAGTGTCGTGAGACGGACCTAGCCGGGTGGTGGGCGGTTCCCTGGGGTGGCGGTGGGGGTAGGGGGGCCACGTGCTCAGCACGCATGCGAGTGAGGGCGGCCGCCGCCTCATCCAGGGCGCAGCTCACAGACGTCGTCAGCCGCCGCAGCACCTCGGGGTCCGCAAACTGCTTGCCCTCCAGGGACAGCTTGCTCAGCCCTGCAACGAGCAAGAGGGCGCCGGGGGGCCACGGGGGCCGCCGTCTGGGTCTCTCTATCGACCGGTGCATTGCCGCTGGGGAGGAGCCTCTTAAGAAATGCCAAATACTCCCAGAAAAACATAATTCTTTTCTTTTTAACAATTATAACCATTGAATTTGTAAAAAATTTTTGTGAGTGTCTGAATAGAGAATGTCACAACATTAACCCCTCCCGTAATAAAAAAAAAAAAATAATAATAATATTTAAAGCAAAAGTAAATGACAAGACTTATTCAAACAATTCCGGAAAAAAAAAAATGTTTTGTGGGGAGGGCAGTGGCCCTTCGAAAGGGCCCAAAAAGGGTTTCTGGAAATGTGTTTTTTATAGAGTGAGCTACGTGCCCTAAGCATCCTCCGAAACCAGGAAATAGAATCATGCAAGGCCTTTTTCTATATAAAAAAATCCGATCAAACATTGAGACACGCCCCTTTTTCCTGCATATATCTTACAAAACGGGGTGTGTCACGACACCATATGCCATTGGGAGGCCCCGGGACATTAACTGCTGGCAGCAAACCCGGTTGCATTAAAGGACACATGCAAAGGAAAAAAACTGTTCTTTTAAACAGCCGGGTTGGGAAAAGGAAGTCATAAAACAAATTTACAACGAAAAATAAAAATTTTTAGAGCTATATTTACGGCACTATACAAATTTATAGTTGGTGCCCACAGGTGTGGCGAAAAAATGGCCCATATTTATCATGTGACTGGCCCCTATTTGTCATGCGGTACTTGCGCTCTTTTGGAAGCTTCCTATGGTCTCGAAAAGTTACTTATTCATCTTCGTTTGAAGTGCAACAAAAAACGAAGATAAATAAGTAACTTTTAGAGCCCAAAGGAAGCTCCTGAAAAGGTGCAAGCAGACGTGATAGACCGGTGTGCCCGTCAGATGACAGCGGCGGTGCCCCGGAGCACATGAACTTGCGCCGTGGCGGTGGCGGCGACGTGAAGAAACGCGTTGAAGTGGCGGCGCACAACGCTCAGCATGCGGCAGCGGCGGCGATGCAGCGCGGCGGCGCACAGGTCTACCACGTGACCAGTGGCGGCTCCCGCGGGCGCCAACTACAAATTCGTTTTGCGCCGTAAATATAGCTCTAAAAATTTTCTTCATTCTTTGTAAACTTGTTTTATAACATACTTTTTCCATCACGCTGTTTTAAAAAAAAAATGTTTTTTTTTTTCTTTGCATGTGTCCTTTAAGAACAGACCCCCTACCACATTGCAAAGTTAATGTCATTTCAATCGACGGACATTACGGGATTGACCAATCAGCGCCAGGTACTCTCGACGCAGCACAGTGCACGCGTGACACTTGCAGTCAGGATTGTGCGCCGATTTGCCGAACATATAAATGTAAGTTGAAGGAACTGACATCCACTTTGCCATGCAAAAGGGAAACCTAAGCAAACCGGCACAAGCCCAACAAATTAAACTGGTGCCACAATCGATGGCTCGTACGTTACGGATGCCAACGCATAGTAACAACAAAACCCTTTTCAATCTTTCTCCTCGATTCAGTGGCATTAAGAGAGCACTGACTGCCCCACAATCTCGCCACAGAGCTCAGTAGACCACACAAAGTGCAAACGCATCGAGCAAAGGCCCAGCGAGATGCGGGAGAAATGACTTTGTCATCGCGCATCGGACGTTGCCACGAAACGAGTAAACATGGCTCGAGCGAACACACCCGCCCTGCGACGCACTCGTCGGCAACTTCGCGAGTTTGGAAGGTGTACGGCCGAGAGCGTCGACGGTTGCGAGGGGAACGGACGCCCGGACGATCGAGACGCTTCCAAATACTTGCTTTTGCAAAAGCCTTCTGGGCACAGCCTAGCAAATCTGCAATCCAGAGAGCGTTTTCTCTTCTCCATGCGAGTGTGTGAATCCGCGAGAAAGAGGGGGAGCAAAAAGACAAGTCAGATGGGAGGAGTGATAAGTAAAAATAGTAGAGATTGGGAAGTAAAATAAAGACAGAACAACACATAAATAACAAGGTCTTTGGGCTGGATCTCTAACGTCACCTACCAGAGGACAACGCAGATTGGACGTGAGCACTACGTCTGCATTCGAATAGTGTTCAGTCAGTGACGACACCAGCCAAACACTGACGCAGCACACGTTGCCAAACACTGGTGCATTAAACGGGGCCGAACACCAATGTGGCAAACATGTCCAATCTGTGGCCTTCTGAGACGTGGAAGATTCGGCACTATGGCCTTGTTTTCTAGGAGGTGTTGGGCAGATTGAAAGAAGGAAAAAGGAATGTTCCCGGAGGGCGTCCCCACCTGTGGCTTCGAGTAGGGCTTCCAGCCGCGCCTGTGTATCGGGGTCCACGCTGCCCACTTGGAGCTCGGGGCTGTCTCCGCGGCCACTTTCAGAGGACAGCAGGAACTTGGACGTGTCCAGCACAGGCTCTTCCTCCAGCTCTTCGGGGTCCAAGATGAACGACTCGGCCTGGGGGGATGTTTCCTTCCGTCACACAGCACCCCGCACTCCTCGCGCCCCAAGTCGCACGGTTCTGAGGGCAAGGTCCGCGACCACGCAGCCCACGACACGGTTTGAACCGGTGTTACTGGGTCGCTTTTGCTGTGGAACTTCAAGTGTTGGGCAAAGTACATCTCAAAAGGAGTTGGAGTAAAGTACAAAGTTAATAAGAGGTTATGTGCTCCAAGTAGTAAGTACACTGGGTGCAGTGTACTTGAAGTAAAATGCTATAAATACAATGCAATTTCAAAGTAAAATACGAGTACTTTTTAACACGATTCGTCATGATCAAACATGGGTAAATTACTTTCAAAATGTAATTTAATTACAATTACAATTATTTTGCTCCAAAAGTAGTTTAATTACAATTGCAATTACTACTATGCAAAAGTAATTCATTACAATTACAAATTACTTCTAAAAAGTAATGCGATTACTTTACAATTACTTATTTCTGAGAACTACCCACCTTATATTCGCAATAAATAAAAAAAAATTTTATTATATTTTTATTTTATTTTAGAACAAGCTCTTGACAGTCTAAAAACGCGGTTTGTTAAGTTTTGGAATCTCGTCCAATCAGCACTCTAAAAAAAGCCCGTGCGGCTACTTTCCCTCACAACACTCGGAGAGCCAATCACTGCAACTTACGGAGGTAGCTCAGCAAATGACGATGCCGAAACATATGTTTAGACCAAAAAACGCAGTTTGAGTTGTGACATTCAGCAATGCAACACGTCACGCTTGCATTGCTTAATGTCACAACTCAGACTGCGTTTTTTGGTCTAAACATATGTTTCGGCATCGTCATTCGCTGAGCTAGCTTTGTAAGAGTCGGTGATTGGCTCTCCGAGTGTTGTGAGGGAAAGTAGCCGCAGGGGCTTTTTTTAGAGTGAGGTTGAGAAACGGTTGACAGGGTTAGGGGTTGGAGCAAACAGTAAATAATGAAAATTTATGCAGAAAGGTATACGAAGATTGGGAAGGGGAAGAGCAGTGTAGCAACAACGGTTGGAAGTAAGGTGCGGTGGGTCGTGTTAACGAGACCTCGATGTTAGAGTAGCATAACTTACTGTAAGTGGCACCATCAGACAAGCTAGAGTAGAGGGACGTGAAGAACACTTAAAGAAAATAGAATAATTTCATGGACAATACCGTATTTACTTGAATATTAGCTGCACTGTTTGTGAAGAAAGCCTGAGGGTTCGCTTTTCCTCGAAACACGCGGACTGCCAATCGCCGCGATCGACAGCATGATTCTAGCGGTTTACAGGACAGAGATGACGCCTTCGCGCGAAGATACCATCTGTGAAGATTGTATTTGTATGGAGAATCGTGTTCGCGATCTAGTTATTCGCTGTGTTATTGACGCGCAAAGCGATGATTAGCTGTATTTGTGTTCTGCGCAAAAGTGGACGCAAGGGCCTTGTTCATAAATAGTGCGGCTGTTACTCGAGTAAATGCGGTAAAATCCCCAACCTTGACTGAAATATGTAAGTGAATATGCTAGCGACGAAGACGCGTAGGAAGAACCTCGAACGTTTCGCCTCGACCGGATGATGTGATAGGAGCCCTACCAGCTCGACTTCGAACCCCGATGCCCCCTGCGGAGAATGAGAAACAAGAGGAGACCCCTAGGAAGGAACCCGAGCAACAGGAAGCGAACGAGACGAAGAGACAGATTTCAACTGCGATCCGAACGAAAACAGGCGTAAACGTAGCCGTCACTTGTCAAATTATTTCTCCAATTTCTCATTTAATCGTTTTACAGTTTACAAAACGGTTCATTCCGTTCTATCCCAGCCTCTCCTTCTCCCCTGTCGCTTAGGCTGTACTGCCGTCTCTGTGGTCAGGGGAGAAAAAGTACCGACGCCGTAAAATCTAGCAAAGTAATTGTAATTCTGCCTGAAATGTTGCAATTACTGATGCTAGAAAGTAATTAAACTACAATTACAATTCCTTTTAGCTTAAAGTAGTTAATTACAAATTACTACAAAAAGTAATTAAATTACAGTAATTCAATTACTGTAATTGAATTACTACCCAAGTATGGTCATGATGTCCTTTCAATCCCCCTATGCAATGTTTTTTCTTTTGTCTTTAATTTGGTGTACGTTGCTTGAGGGCTAATCGGGGGTGCACCAGTTATTTTCAGGAATGGTGGCGAATAGTGGATAATATCAAGTTGCTTCAGAGTTGGCAAAGCATAATTTTGTGATACAAAATCAACAAGGCCAAATTTGGGGAATGTACTTTGGAGTCGAAAGTTGTACCTTCCTCAGAAACTACTAGAAAAAAATACTTTAAGTACAAGTACATCAGAAAATGTACTTCAACTAAAGTAAAAGTCTTCTAAACCTCCTTAGAGTAGTATGTTAAAGGGGCCCTGCAAGCACGTTTTTACTCATTTTTAATTTGTACCAAACCTGAGCGCACTGAACGTAGTAACTTAGTGTAACTTTTATTTTCTTGAAATTCGCTTTATTTTAAAAGTTATAAGCAAATCAAAATTACAAAAACAAGCAAAAAATAACCTCCCTCATGACGTCCTTGGTTGCTTGAGCGGCCGTGAACTAGAGGAGGGGTAGTGAGCTCATCGCGAGCGCTCACGGCTACCGCACTCCGTGTCGACGGCGCGAGAGGGCGCCACTAAAGCATGTTCTGGACAGGCTGTATGCAGCGGGCAGCCAGAGCGGCTCTCATTGCATTTGCTGCGTGATTAAACACTAATTCGGCATGACACTTCATTGGCCGCAAACGACAGCAAACATGGGGTAAAGATCAGTTCAGAGTGGGAGCCACTTCGCGCTGCCATACCGCGAAACGGCCAAACCGCAAGACAAGCATCTCGCCGAAGGCCTTCGGGAGGCTCGGAGCCGGTCGGGTCCTCCTGCCCATACGACCGCAGCGCTGCCTCGTACATCCGGGATTTTTCCGTGTCGGCGCCTGATCCCACTACTTCTTTCTAGTATGCGCCGCCTTTTCCACCGCTTGGTGACGGGTATGTCGACGGGTCATTTCTTGTTTCCGTACTTTATAAACTGCATTTGTTTCTTTTCTGTTCTAAAATAGTGAACAAAAACTACTTTTATAAGTAATTGAAACGGTTCGCGCAACTTATATTTTGTATTTCGACTAAGAAGAAGCTTTTAGCGGCTCTGACCAGTAGTAAGCCCAGGACCAAAGACGTCACATTTTGCGCGCTTTCGGTACCGCGGGTCGCCCTCGTCGGTGGAGGAGGTTTCCGCGTCGTCCGGTTAAAATATGACGCACTGATATTTAGTTACTCCCTCCGTGCCCGCTGGCTTGCCCGAACCCCAAGAGACGTGGAAACCGCAAAAAAGGTAGACGCTTAAATATGATTGCAGGGCCCCTTTAAGTACAATGTACTTAAAGTACTTCCCAACCCTGAGAACTTCTTATAGACCAGGAAAGGCCAAACTGCAGCTCGCAAGCTGCGTGCAGCTCTTTGCGGGTCCAAGCGTGGCTCCCTGGTAAGCATGCCCTACTGTGTCCCCAAGACAAAAATAGTTCAATTGAAAAAAATAAATAAAAGTACACAGTCTTGGCAGCCTTGTCCTACACTACGTAGATGCAGCTGGACTCCTTTTTGACACAGACGTGTCCAGGGACCCTGCTTCTTTTATTGTTCTAGAATGAATTTCGGACCGTATACACATAACGGGCGTCGGGGGCAGTGGCCGGGCAGCACAAGCCATGAATTCGTTTTTGCTTAGCGGTTGAAGGAATGTTCTGCTGCCTGGTGTTCTTTGTTGTGGTCGACAATTATACTCGTTCCCTTCAGAAAGGACTGTTCCCTAAATATTGTCCCTTGTCAAAAATAGCTTAGCCCCCCTTCCCCCTCTCTTTTTCCTGTGGCTCTCTGAACTTTTCTAGCTTTCTCTGCGACTCTAGCCCCGTGCCACTTCGGCCACCCCTGCCATAGACTCAGTGCAACAAAGGGTGTTCAAAACAGTGTACAAATATTCGAGGTGCTGCCGACACATTTGACACGCGGCGTCTGCTAGCTGTAAGTTGTGGATAAAAACCATGCGTCATCAGCTCTATGCTTTTAAATATGGTAGAACGTGTAGAGATGTCTTTCTAGACGACTTGGTATATCTAGGCAAGTCTTGTGCACACAAGTCACACGCTTCTTTTTGCAACTTTAGCGGGCAGGGATTTTACTATGTGTTTTGATGCACACGGCAAAACGAGGTAATCTTATTAACGGAGCCCAACCATATTTTTTTTTTCTTTAAACTTTACGCTGCAAATAACAGCCTCGTATGTTCTGAAAGTAGTAAGCATGGAGGATGGCAGCCGATGAAGACAATAATGTGGCCCAATGTGCACCCCCCCCCCCCCCCCCCCCCCCCTCCAAGGCACTTCCTTCGAAGCAGAGTACCACAACCGAGCTGACATAACGTTGGTCCGAACCAACAAGAGAAGCCATGCAGCTTCTGGGACCACCCTGGTGTGCACATTCAATCTCCGATATTAATTTGTTCTGGAACCACTACAAAGAAGTCAAGCAGGGGTCCAAGTGGATAGACCCCTTCCAACAAGGCACCGTAAAGCGAAGATCAAGTTTGTATACTCGTTCCAGAACAATTTTAACATATAATCTTTGAGGTATTTAATGTTACGATTGGCCCAAGCTAGGCAAAATTTGTACTGCAGGGCACTGGTTCTGTACCTTTGTTGCATTGTCTAAACAAAATGTTTTCTCAGAAACTGAAGAATAGAGCAGTCTCTCTGAAGTGCATGTTAATTCATCTTCAGTAGTTATTCTTGAAGGCGTTTAAAGACTGTAAAACGTTGACTATGTTTCTTATTGTATTATAATGGTTGCTGCATTTCCATACTACCTATTGTGTGCTTAATATATATCATACTTTCCTTTGTACAACTTCATTTGCAGTAAAATCTACTATCCCCTTTTTCCACAACCTCCAAAAAAATAACATTAG